CTTCCTTATTACATATCTGTTGCTGCAAGAAATAGGTTCTCTATTTCCCATTCTGGTGCTTTGAGGTTCTTTAGTAGTATAGGGATATACTCTCCTGTGATTTTTCCTTTATAGTGCACTATGCATTATTCCTTAAAATATACTATCTAGTGTATTACATTATATTCAGGGTGTCTCCTATATCCTCTATAGGAATATTTAAGTTTCCAGCATGGATAAGTAGTATTTTCTTTTATAACTGTTGGTACTGCTAGCTAAAATTTTACTATATATTTATTATTATAGTAAATACTGTAGTTATTACTGTAGCAGGTGATCTATAATACTCTATTATGCCTAGGGTGTCCCTGGAAATGTTTGCATAAATACTAAGTGTAATTATATTTCCTATAGTATAGTTCTGGTATTCTTTTTCTTAATACCTGTCTGAGCTTGTTAAAGTATTCATTTATCTATTATTAGTATTTGTGACAGTACTATGGATGTCTGTTATACTAGGATGTATGCTAGTCCTATGACTTAGCTTGAGTCCAGTATTTGAGGTTCTAATAGATGCATCCTTTCACTCCTTGTCTGATTTTCTTAAGGATTTATATATTTAGTTAGTGCACTTCTAGTTCTGCTAACTATTTTCTATCTACCTGTTGCAAGCTTGCTGTATGTTAATCTGCCTCATTATTATCTTTTGGGGAATTATCCTGAGGTGTCTTGGGAATCTTATAGGACTACTCCTTATTAGGATTAAGGCTCACTCACTGAGTTCTGTACTCTTTGTTAAGTGGATTAATAGGTTGGTTAATAGTGGTCTAATCTATTATGGGATAATCCTCTTGATCTGGCTTATCCTGGTTGGTCTTTTCTTCATTGGGACTGATAACCTAATGTATCTCATTGGTGAGTGCTATTAACCTGTGAATAACTCCTTCAGGTGTAATGTCTTCCTATTTAATAGAGCTATACTTGTTGCTAGGTGGTGACTTATATTTAATGGCCGCGAGTACACTAGGGTTTTTGATGGGCTAATTACTTATTGTGCTTTTATACTTAGTAGAGTCTTCTTCCTAAAGCTCCTGCTTGATTTTGTCATTATTAAGTATTATGTATTCTTTGAATAATTTTCTCAGCTGCTTATTACTCTTTTTGCTTGGAATTATAGTACTAGTTATGTTGTAAGCTCCCCTAGTGGTATAGAACTCTGCTATTGCCCTGAGCTGTTTGTTTTTGTACTGCTAACCCTTCCTGGGTTCTTACTTGTAGTTTTTTGATATATGTCCTGGTTTCCTGTAATGGAAATATAGCTTATTATGTTATTGCTGTTCTCTTTCCTCCCTGGAAAGTGCTATTTATGTAGTATCTAGTTCTATAGGTCTTGGCCTATACAGATCTAGTGTGTGTTCTTATCTTTTGTTAGCTTGATGTTGTCCTTAGAGTTATCTATGACCTTTTCTCTAGGTATTGATTTCTTGCTTTTCTATTTTTTGCTTATAGTAGTGGTTATTAATCTTAACTGTAATCTCTGTAAGCTGGTTAAGTTATTCTGGTTGTTCCATATATGCTAGTTTATCTTATATATAGTCTTTAAGTCCACTAATAGCTATAGATATATATGCCTTTTTATTCCAGTCCACATTTAAGATAAGCTGGTAGAATTTAGAAAAGTATGCAGATGCTGAGGTGGTTTATCTGAGTTATTTTAACCTTCTCTCAGCTGTGGCTTTGGCATTGATGTCTCTGAAAGTCTGTTTAAGGTATTATCTGAATCTAGTATAGCTGGTGAAGATGTTCCGCGTGATAGTTGACTATTTATTTACTTGTTTCTTATAGTATTCTTAAATATATAGTTTAAACCAGTTCCATGCTTGCCCTTGAAGGTGTGTAGCCATAAAGATGACCTTATTAGCCTGACTAGGTAACTTAGCTTTGTTGGTATTAAGGTGCATGTTTATTTATATGAGGAACCCCCTGAGTTAGGATTAAGTTCTATTAAATAGCTTAGCCTTGGGTAACTTAGGCCCTGAGATACTACTGATTAGTGCTGATGCTCTAACCTAAGTGTCTAGCTGTATTAGATGATTATAGATGTTAGTCTGAATGTACTTAGCTTGTTAATTAAGTGAGGCCTTAAGTTCTAAGATTTATCTTTTTAAAAGAGTGATATCTTCATTGTCATCTAAGTCTGGAGTATTAGTAGGTGGGTTATAAGTAGGTGCTTTACCTCTATTGCTACTAGATACTATCAACATGGTTGCTGATAGTTTTAGTACAGAATGAATGCTCCTAAAGTAATTTATTTAGTATAGTATTTAATTTATTACACCCTGGGATCTGTCTCTGCTATTCCTGCTAGTTACTAACTCTGGGAGTAAGGGATATAGTCCTGGGACTATATCTAATACTTGCCTGAGGCCTACTAACTGGGTAGCCTAATGGTGTAATAATATAATAATCTGAATAGGACTAAGGATGGTTTGAGGTAATGTAAGAATAATAATAGTAAAGATAGAAGCAAGGCCTATTAAGTATGTATACTTAATAGTAAGAGAGTAGCTGATGAATTAGACTAGTGAACTTGTACTCAGGTAAATAACTTATATTAAATATAAAGAACTAAACTAAGAGTGCTAGATATAATAGTAATGAGCATCCTTATATAGTTCCTCTGTTGGTCCTATTCTTAAGGTTACTATAAGGTCCTATTATAGACTGTTGTCTGTAGTCCATGGTGGTTGTGTTTGGCTTTGGTCCCTAAAGGACCATCAATAGTTTTTGGCATTTGGGACCTTCCTGTAGTCATGTGATTATGCGGCTGAAATAGGCATCATTGGCACATATGCAAATTGTCCCGCATAACAACCTGGTAATTGGGGAACGGTTGGTCATCACCGCTTCGTACTTCCGTCATTTCAGCCTCGCGGTGTTGGTGCTGTAACATAAAGCTTCCTCCATCAGCTTCCCCAGATTGTTTTTTGACAAGCTTCTTTGGACTTATTCCAGAACTTTTTAAAGATCTGATATAGCTTATCATCATCATTTTTATTTAACCTATAGAAAAGAATGTTATTAATGTACTGGCTAATATCTGTGTCTGACGGTGTCTCATTGTCCATGAAGATATTGGCGCGTCAAAGATAACCGCCGTGATATTGTGCATCACTCAGTCATCCTTAGTCTTGATGGACTACTGGACCGTGATCATTGTGAGGAGCAACTGGAAGGAGGTGGAATAATAGGAACCTCTGCAAAGCTAGTGATTCTCCTAATATGAAATAGAGGGGAAGGTCTGGTACTTTGATTGTACTCCCTAAGAGCACTATATATAAGACCAGCAGCTGTAAGAGTGGCAATATGACTAAACACTACCAGCACAACAAATATTTCCCCAGTTCATAGGTCCACAACCTGTGTACATCACTACCAACTATATTTACTTAATCCATCCTATAATAATTTATTCCACTCAGCACAAGTGCTTAGTGAATTAGTAACTGGCAGGTTTGCGCCATCATCAACTTAATAATCTTAGGAGAAACACGATGGTAACAGAAGATCATTAGTCTGACTCCGATGGGCAGAGCTGCATGACGTCAGTTATAATTAGCTGGGACGGGGTATAAGTTAATCTGTAACCCATAATCTGTAATCCATCTGTATGCATGGGGAAGAGGCGCCCTTGGGTTGAGATGCGTGTGGTTACTTAGAAAGAAGATTTAATGTAGAATCCCATTCATTAGTAGCAGTTCAAACTAAGTTGTACTTAAGGCATGTCTGGATGATACTTACAAGTGAGAAGCTATTTTCAGTTCCTGAACCAATGAGAAGATGTTATCCCTTCATCATCTATGAAGCGCGGTTAAACAACTATCAAGATCTACCAATCACTAGTTTAATGGATTGAATCTGTTAAAGTGACTTAGCATGTGAAACCCTACTTCTTAAGCATCTTAAAAGATGGCATTTAACTTAGTATAGCTGCTTAAGAGCAGCTCCATACACAAGCACATCCTGTTAACTTCTACTTAAAAATCCACTCATAGTACTATGTATATAGAGAGAGTGGATAAATGACACAAAGGGCTATAGTTTTATCTAGCAATCTCTAGCCTGAAGGTATCTCCACTATAATGAGTCAATCGCTCTGTTGATCACTCTGTTAGATGGGTACACTGTTGAATTCTGGTTGATCATGTCTGGTTATGAGCAGTGGGGGAGCGGACCCATGTGGCGGCCCATAATGAACTGTGCCTAGCAAGGTGGGCGGTCGGGGGGCAGCAGGTTAATTCTGAGCAGGTTTAGATACCAAACTAGGTCTGGAGGTGCTAAACTAGAAGGAGCAAGTTCCGGGAGCTTCTAAACCCAAACAAGCAGGTGGCCGAAAGCGACAAGTTGAGCTTTGTTGATCAGGCCAGGTTAAGAATCATTCCTGCAAGTTCAGTGATAGTTGGATTCGATTTTAGCAGTTCGGTTACGCAACTCTAAGTATTTACATAGTATACACATATACATAGAATATTAAGGGATGAAGGTCGGATTCTTCTAATCTATAACCTGTGGTCAAATCAGATTCCAGGGAGTTCTGTAAATCCTTTACAAGATTTGGTAGCCAGCTGGCTGACACATCTTTGACTCTTGGCAGGGTGGGGCTTTTAAGCTGTTAGACTAATCAACTTCCGGCATTCATATTGCACTTTCTTCACAGTTAGGGGAAAAATCCAACATGACGCCCGCGGCATGGGAAACATTATGTGATGGCATGCATACAGGAGCTCGGTTGTTTAAATGTCGATCGTTAAGCCAAAGCTGGCAGCGACTGGCGTTCAGCGCGTGCCCGGCCCCGATGGCATACGTCCGGTTCTGGGTTCCTGTCCACGCGCTAACCGCCGCTAAGCATGTGGCAGAAAAACAATCCCCCTAGGAGTTGCTGCGCCCAGCGGTCAGAGCACACTCCGTTGCTACCGAGAACCCCATTCTGCAAGTGGTGAGATCCCGATTCTGACATCGTCATGACAGCTGGAGACAGCAGACCCACGCGCATCCTGTTTGTGAATGGCCCATCGCTGGGCCGGAGAGACTCCGAGTCCCGGAACACGCGCTCATCATTGATCCGCCGCCTGATCCAAGAGAAACGTACTAGATACCGACAGGAGGAAGAAGCCAGGCGAGGGTTATTGATTGCTCAACGCCAGGCACGGTACTTAGCGGTGCGTTGGTGTGTCTGTGCTGGAACGGTCAAGGACCAGGCCCAAAGCCAGGGGAAGCGTCGCAGGCCTTCGGAGACTATAATCCCAGAGGCCGGAGCTAGCCTAGCGGTGCCACAGACGMAAAACATTGATGGAACTCTCTTCGGCATGTGCCGCACGTGCGGAGGATTGTGTGTGCCCATTCCAATGCAAAGCAGCAACGCACCGACCCTATGTCTGAGTCCCGTCACTGGCAGGGCAGACCCCTTTTCTTCGGTGGATCCAAACCTTGGGCCTGGAGTGGAGAGCTTACTCCAGCATGGTTAGTGGAATTGTTCCTGCCTGTTCACTTCTATTGCTGCACGAATCCCTAACACTGACACCTCTAGCGGTTCTGGACATCTGGCCGAATTTCCGCCATGCAGATTACGCGGGGAGATGCTACTACTCATGGGTGTCCACGAATATGGAAAACAAACTGGTGATCTACAGCACACTATGGGCTGCTTCATGTCATCGCGACGTTCTGCGCATCAGCTACGGATCCAATCCAGTGCTGGACGTCCAGGACCAGCTGTACTATAAGGGGCGTGTCCTAAAGCTACTACACGGCCATGTAGCAGACTTTACCAAAGAAGAATGGCGAGATGGAGTTATTATGGCGATCTTATACCTGGCTGTCAATGAGGCTAAGAGACGTGACCTGAGCCGCGATCCAAGCCCTTTCACACCACCATTCATGGACATGCAGTCCCTGTCATTCTATGGCAGCCGGGACTACCACACGCTGCATTGGAATGTCATTTGTAATCTGCTGAGCCAGCTGGGTGGGATCCAGTCCATCAAGCTGTTTGCACTGGGCTGGTTGACATCAATGTAGGTTGTCTGGCCGACGCAGTTCTTAAACCCCAAGACTGTGAAACTGCTACTAAGATGTCATCCAGTGCGGATCTGATGAATGCGGCCCACTCTTTGACCAAACCGTGTTTCCCCATGGTTGATGTTGAAGGCAACGTGATCGACTTTTCAACCCCTCTGCACGTCTTTCCCTTCCCAGACGAGTCGTCTAGGAAGATGAATCTTGGCTTTAAGTATCTGCTGTCCACCCGACCACCAGTGAAAGAGGCCATAGTAGATGCCTTCCTCCTCCTCAGCGAATACTCCACACTGGTACAATGGTATCATAATCAACTCCTCGATCCGCCAAATTGCGACCGCTTCGCCGATATTCGCAACCAAGTTCATCATAAATTATTCAGCTTGCCAGATGAGCACGACCCCGTGGAAACCGTGCTTGATATGTGTGAGCTATCCCCAGATGACTTCTCTGTGTCTCTTGAGTTGTACCTTACCTCCCGGTTGGCTGCGCATCTTTATGCAACGCATGTTACCTTCCCTGTCCCCCGATCCTCCCTGCTCCGTGCGGCGATCATTCCGCACCTTGCCGGCAAGCTTGACCAACTGACAAAGATGGGGTCCAATGAGTTAGTGCTATGGTGTGCTACCATAGCGGCCATAGCGGCGGAAGAGACACCAGAGTACCATCAGCTAACTGGACATGTTGAAGGCCTATGTCGGGAGTTGAAGGTCACATCTTATGTATGCTTTGTCGAGATTTTGCAATCCTTTGCTTGGGTGGAAATCGCATGCTCGGAGGGATGTCGCCGACTGTGGGAGAAATTAGCGTTCACCAGAGGCGGCCAGCGTCTGGAGATACAGTGGGGGTTCAAAAGTATTTGACCCCCCGGAACCCGCTAGTATACCGAAGGGATCAAATACTTTTGAACCCCCACTGTATACCCGTGATATCTTACCGTGCCGCTATTCCCATTCGGGGCATGTCTTCGAGTAAGGTCATTGGATGTTGGCGTAAGCTTTGACCCCAACATTCGGTCTGGGTTTGGCATTATTATTGTCACTCCTAATATTATGCTTCCTCAGACTATGCGGCCATACCCCACTAGAACGTGCGCCCTACTTCTCTCTATCATTCTGTTGGTTATTTTACATCAGTGCTGTTTGCCCCACATTATTGCCCTAACATCTTATTATGTAGGGTCCTGTTTGTTAGTGTGCTCCTGCAGCCCTGCTTATTAAAAGTGATCATAGCCGATCTGCAACCACCAAATGTGTACACAGCCTAACTGAGCTACTCTGAAGTCTTATATGACCTATACCCCTAATAACGTAATCGGTAAGCGAGCCGCCATCCAATATTCACCGGAGATGAAATTGAAGCTATTTTCAACCCCTAAAACATGATTATATTACTAAATCTACAGTGGGGGTTCAAAAGCTATAGAAACTAGTATTTTGTATACCATCCATCTGCATCAAGGATTGCCTGCACACGGTGAGGCATAGTATTAGATAGATGCTCCGGGACCCTCTCATCAATTGTATGCCATGCCTCCTTTACTACCTCTATAAGATGCCTTAGAGTATCCTCAGTATCTGGAGCATGCTCAAGCTCTGGATAGCACTTGTAAATAATTACTTTCATAACAGCCTATAGATTCTTAATTAGATTCAGATCAGGGGAGTATAGTAGCCAGACCATGACCTGAATCCGCATATTATTAAGTAGGGGCCTAATAATACGCGCAGTATAGACTGAGGCACCATCATGCATAAAGATATCACCAGGCTAAAGTAATTTAGGTAGAAAAGCTTTATATATGTCACACCCTGGGATCCGTCTCTGCTGTTCTCTGCTAGTCAACTACTTTGGGAACGGGGTCGCTATAGTCCCTGGACTTATAGCTTATACTCGCCTAAGGCCTACCGACCGGGTAGCCTAACGATGCAGTGATGCAATGACCTCCTGGGGTCAAGGACAATCCAAAGGTAACGTAAGAACAATAACAGTAGAGATAGAAGCAAGGCCTATCGAGTACGTATACTCAATAGTAGAGAGTAACTGACGAATCGGACTAGTGATCTTATACTCAAGTGAATGATTTGTATTGAACGCGAGGAACTAAACTAAGAGTGCTAGATACAATGTGAATGAGTGTCCTTATATAGTTCCTCAGTCGCTACCTTGTTTGTGACTTCTTCTGCTACTCCTGGGGTATCCATGGAGTATTCCTTGGAGTAGAGATAATACTCTTTTACTTGGCAGTTGCCCATTTTCTGGGGCAGTGATCACGTGACGGCGCGGCCAAGAATGGCGTCCCTTAGGTAATCATCAATTGTCCTTTATAATAACTCGTCATTACCAGTGATCAGTCACGTGAGCGACTGGTGGTGATGGTTGTCCATATGGTGTGGTAGTGTATAACTGAACTGTTTTTCTGCGATAGAGTGTTCGTCCGGATTGAGCGCTTTCCCGGATCACTGGGTGATCAGTTCGGGGTTGGTTGGTGATCGATGGTCCTCTGGATTCTGCCCGTCACATCCGCCCTGCGCTAATGCGGCTGTGTTGGTGTCGTAACAATATACAGAATGTATAACCTAGGAAGTTACCCCCCCCCCCCCCCCCCCCTTTTAAGATTCAGGGTCGCTATCCAGAGGGATAAGGCCTGTGCGGATATTATATCCAAATCCAGCCCAAAACATCTTCTTTACACCCTTTCCGCATTAAATACCGTGTACATCATGCTTAATAAGTTGTTGAGATGGACTATTAAATGTCTATATAGGTTAAATACCTTTACCATACTTAACTGAGCATTCATCTGTCTATTTCACCTATCTCTAATCTAGAGTTGCATAACCGACCTGTAAAAATCGAACCCAAACCTCACTGAACTCGCAGCGGTGCGGGTTCGGGGGTAAGCCTAGGGAACTGCTTTGGGTTTGGTTAGGCTACCTCTAATCTAATCTAGGTTAGGTGAAAACCGCGGTTTTTGGTTTTTATAGTTTTTTAAGTTAGGTTTAACTAACCTACACTATTTTACCTAGAAATTAGTAAATTCTAAATATTTTTAAATAACATTTATATTACTAGATAGCCATTAATTCAGGCTATCTAGTGATATAAATATTATTTAAAAATACCTGGTAGTTGCTGAGATAAAAGGGAATGATCATTTCTATTATAGGTTGGTATAAAAGTAGTACAGAGATATATGTATAAGGGCACTAAGGTCTGATAACTACTATACCTTTTAAATAATTTTTAACCACTACCCATTCAACCCTATAGATATTAAATTAATATTTCTAATATAGATTAGAATGATTATAATTACTATATATTTTATATAAAAATTATGATTTTATATAAGCATGCTTGTTAGGGGGCCTTAGAGGTGTCCCTGAAGTAGAGTGGCATAACCGACCCGCAAAAATCGAACCCAAACCTCACCGAACTCACAGCGGTGCGGGGTCGGGGGCAAGCCTAGGGAATTGCTTCAGGTTCAGTTAGGCTACCCTGGACCTAATCTGGGTTAGGTGAAAACCACAGTTTTTGGTTTTTACAGTTTTTTAAGTTAGGTTTAACCAACCTGCACCGTTTTACCTAGAAATCATTAAATTCCAAAAATTCTTAAATGATATTAGTATTGCTAGATAGCCTGAATCAAGGGCTATCTAGTGATATAAATATTATTTAAAAATACCTAGTGGTTGTTGAGATATAAGGGAATAATCATCTCTGTCATGGGTTGGTATGAAAGTAGTACAGAGATATATATATAAGGGCACCAAGGTCCGATGACTACTATACCTTTTAAATAATTTTTACCACCACTCATTTAACCCTATAGATATCGAACCAATATTTCTAGTATAGATTAGAAGGATTATAATTACTATATATTTCATATAAAAATTATAATTTTATTTAAGCATGCTTGTTAGGGGGCCTTAGAGGGGTCCCTGAAGGGGTCCCCAGGGGAAATAGTAAGGGTTAAAACAGTTAAAATTTGCGGTTTAACCAACTCGAAATCGAACCAAATCTAACCATGGTTAGTTAGTATAGGCCTAGCTATGCCTAGCTGGGCCTAGCTGCAGTTTTTTGCAGTGAAACCGCAACCAACCCAGATCAGGTTCGATTTGGTTCTGAGTTCTAAAATTTGGACCCGAAACCGCAGCGGTTCGGTGCCAACTAAGGTTTAACTCGCCCAAACTCGCACCAAATGCAACTCTACCCTGAAGGGGGCCCGGGGGGGAATGGTAAGGATTAAAATGGTTAAAATTTGTAATTTAACCAACTTAAAACTGAACTGAATCTAACCATGGTTAGTTAGTATAGCCTATCTAGGCCTAGTAGTGGGTTTTTGCAGTGAAAACCGCACCAAACTGCATTGGATTTGATTTGGACTCAATTTCTAAAATTTTAACTCAAAATCACAGTGGTTCAGTTCTAAGGTTGGACTCGCCTGAACTCGCACCAAATGCAACTCTAATTACTTCCCTACCTCCTCACCCTCTTGTTTACATCCTGCATTCATCCCTTGTTATCTAGAATGTATAATAGTTCATGGCATAGAGCTATAAGTAGTGAGTAGGGGCCCTCACAGATGAAGAAGGCAGGTTGCAGCATACAACTGTTCCCCATCTCCTCCAGCTTGCGAAAGGCCCTTACTACTACCCCAAGAATAGCGAGTATCAATATAATTATAAATAAGTAAGAGGCTTATAGATCCCAGCCCCTAGCTATAGATAGATCTTTAGCTTAATAGAATATTAAGTAAGAATAGTCTCCTCTTCCTAAATCTTCTTAAAGAGCACTACTTATAGCCTTATAGGCTATCTAGAATTAATTTTGCTCTGTACTTTCTAACTATATTACTGCCCATAAGTTTGATGTAACATTTATTCTTCTCCTAAGTGACCTCTGGGTTGCTGATCTAACGCAACCCGCGAATGCTCCATGGCCTGGCTATAATAGAGACTGGACACAGCACTTAGCCCTGCTAGATATATGATAGTAAGTTAGTAACTTCCAGTACATATTTAGCTTGATTGATTTGATGGGCAAAATAATTAATGACCATATGAAAGAGTATAATTTTAGTCTCCAAAAGGCCAATGAAGCTGAAAAGACTACTAAGTATATATTATAAATGACACCAGCTTGGCTTCCATGCCGAAGAATTTCTCGACCACGAGACCTTCAATGAAAGAAATCGGGTAAATAACTTAGTCACTCGTTTCGCAATGACTAATGTAATTCTCAGGTGAGCCGCCCACCCGAGCGAGCCGCCCAACTCTGTATTCCATATAAAATGGCACTTGTCAAGGCTTAGATATCTCCACAAGGCCCCTTTATGCTCTAATGTAAGTAGTATATTTGGACTATATACAGTTTAGAGTATATAGATACTCTTTGAAAGGCCCTAAAATACTATTCCTCTGTCTTAATGTTCAAGAAGTTAATATTACCAAAAATACAGACATAATTTATGTTACCTGTGTATATACATATACTAGGGAGGGTGAAGTTTATAAATGTAACTCTGTATGGATATGTAACACCTTAGAGCTAAAATTAGAACCCTATAGATGCTTGGTTGTTGAGATATCAAGGCCTCAAAGAGTGCCATTTTTATATGGAAAACATATCTGGGCGACTTGGTTGGGAATTACGTTACCCTTAGCTCCCCGCTTAGTCATCATCATGTTAAGATTTTGTTTTTAAGCAGTTGTGTACACAGCCCAACCGAGCTACTCTGGAGTCTCGTGTGACCTATACCCCCAACACATGACTGCCAAGCCAATTACTCAGTAGCTTAATCTTGTGCTACCTATTTAATACTTTACATTTGCAGCTGGAATTCATTTTACTTTCACTTATTTTATCTTTATATATTAATATTTTCTTTAAGCACTTAGGAACTGGTTTTTAAGCAGTTTCAAGATGGAACCTACTGAGTTGAGTATTTATCTTGATGATGACCTCTTTAGATGGGACAACACCGATGAAGAAATAGAGGTATAACCCTTTCTATAAGAAGCAGTTCTTAATCACTTACTAACTGGTTAGGAACTAACCATACCTATCCCTCTTACTAATGCAAAGAACTCTCCCCTTATAATACTCAAACTTGAGTATATTGATGACCTTCCAGAGTATCTAACTAGTCATATCCATGGATACACATATGTTGTTGCAGCAGGGGGACACTCATAGACTGAAATGGAGCAGATACCATATGAAGTAAGTATTAATTAGCTAGTACTTTATAAGTACTTACTAACTGCTTAGATTCAATATGCTAAGAAGCAGAGCTATGGACAGAAACATCCTGTTTATTGTCCTTTCTTATCATGCCAGGTTAAAAAATAGACCTGGAAATGCTCTGGTATTCTTACATATAAATATCTTAGCCTAACTCTTTTATCTTGCTATCATACATCTGTTGATAAGGCTATCTGGGAAAAAATTCAGGAATCTCAGCATCAGATTTAAATTCTTAAGTTGGATATTCGCAAGCGGAATGCCTACAGGTAATATTAATATAACTAGTTAGGAACTGGTTTCTAACTACTTATAGCTACTACTGCTTAAAGATTACTCTTTTTAATAAAGGCTATGCCTGTCTTAACCAGCTCCTAATATGCAAGCCAGTCTTCAAAAGATACTCATAAGTGGTATATTTAAGTACTTCCTAACTACTTCTAAACCAGTTACTAACTACTTAAGAATGTACAAGGAGAACATCCCCCCTATATTAGATGTGTTAATGAAATATATAATTTCTTAATAAAGCATCATTAAGGGGCAGTTCAAGGTCATGCAGCTATTAATCTTGAATTTCTAGAGGATCTTTTTAATAAAGATATCTTACTATTATCTGAAGAGTGTGGTTCCTTTGAACCACTATCATCCTGATGAAAGTACTGCAGTAAGTAGTTCTTAAGCAGTTTATAAGTAGTTATTAATTATTTTAGATCATGATTATCCACAGGGCTCTGGACGCTTAAAGCATACCCCCTGTAATATTATTAGAGTTGCATAACCGAACCGCTAAAATCGAATCCGACCCTCACCGAACTCGCAGCGGTGAGGGTTCGGTTCTAAGCCTATGGAATCGCACCGGTTTCGGTTTCCCTAGGTTGGAACCAATTCGAGTTCGGTTAAAACCGTCGGTTTCGATTTTTGAGGATTTATCGGATTCGACTAACCAACCCTCACCGTTTTGGATAGAAATCACTAATTTCTAGGATATATCTAATAATTTTAATATCACTAGATAGCCCTAGATCTAGTCTATCTAAATATATAAATATTAATTGAAAATACCTAGTGATTGCTGAGATATAAGAGAATAGTCATTTCTGTCACAGGTTGGTATGAAAGTGGTGATGATTTATATATATATGCATATCAACCTTCGACAATCACTATGATCTAATAATGATTTTAACCACCATCCATTCAACCCTATAGATATTGAATTGATATTTTAGATATGGATTATTATGATAATAAATACTATATATTTCATATAAAAATATTAATTTTCTATAAGTATAGTGATAGTATGGTAGATAGTATAGCAGTTAATGATTATTTGAAATTTCAAAACAGCAAAAATTCACCGAATGATAGTGGTTTAACTCGCCCGAAACCGAACCGAATCTAACCATGGTTAGTTAGTAGAGACCTAGCTAGGCCTATCTAGGCCTAGTAGCGGGTTTTTACGGTTAAACTCGAACCAAATCGGAACGGATCAGGTTTGGTTCTGATTTCTAAGATTTGGACTCGAAATCGCAGCGGTTCGGTTCCAACCCTAGTTGGACTCGCCCGAACTCGGACCAAATGCAACTCTAAATATTATCTTTAATGCTTTAATCCCTGTGGATATCTCTCAATATCTATATATCTTATTTACATTTTATGGTGTCTATAAGCATCCTCCACCACCTCTAACTAAACCACCTGAACAGATTCTGTAAGTAGTTAAGTGGATTATCTAGTAAATCCAGGACCCAAGTCTGACAACTGGTAAGTACTTATTAACTAGTTAGTAACCAGTTACTAACTAGCTAGTATAGCACAATTCCTTCAAAACCCCTAGCTTGAAGCCTTCTGTTAGCAGTATAATATATCTATATTAGCAGAGATTTACTCTAGCTTCTGTAATAAGGATAAAATTACTGTAATTATTTAGAAATAATGGCTTCTTTTATATCCAAATGGTTAAGATATTAATGGGCTTATATTTCTGCAAAGGATGGATGAATATATAAAGGTAAGTACTTACTAAGCAGTTAGGAACTAGTTATTATATACTTATCTAAAGTCTAGAATTATGTTCAGGAGGTGTTCCATAACTCTCAAGGMACTATGGTTTTATGTGCCTATAAAGAGTAGATTCAGCTTCTAGCTAAGCTCTCTTCATTTAAGGTAGATATGTCTTTTAAGTGTATTTACTTAAAGGACATGAATGAGGTGCTCTTTGCAATATTTCTACCTAACTAATATAAAAGTAAGTATTTACAAACCACTTAGTAACTGGTTACTAAGTAGTCTTTAAATAGTTATTATATTACTTTAAGTCTTCACAAGTCTGGATTCTGCTGAAGGGTATTATCTACTCTTTAAAAGGGTCTTTACTATAATTTAGAAGGTTTTACATCAGCTAGTCTTATTTGACCCTATTCATAGCTCTGGAATATATAGTATTATTATTAATATGGACTCTAAATAATACTCAGGTAAGTAGTTATTAAATACTTTTAAAGCAGTTACTAACTACTTAAGGTCTTGGCCACTATCTCTCTGAGATTGATCCTTAACACTAAGATATAACATGGCAGTTAGAACATATTATTCTATTCTGCCGTGTTCATTTTCAGCAATCAATTTTAAAGGTACTTGGAACTAGAAGCCAGGGAACCCCTCTTTAGAGCTGGATGATGAGTCTATTAGACTGTAAATCAGAGGCTGAGTATGATGAATTACTTGAGCTTCTAATTAGTATTTAACCCCTTACTAAGTACTTATTAAGCACTTACTAACTACTTATTAGAGTATGAAAATGAGAATGTTAGGAACTGGGCACAGCAGAAAAAGAGTTTAGTAATTAAAGCAGGCTTAAATAAAGTATGCTCCAAGATTCAACCTTATTATTTTAATTTATTATGTAATCATACTAATGTAGTTAAGTAATTATATCAAAAGTTATATGCCTCTGGAAAGTACTTAACATTACTTGAGGGAGTAAAGAAGTAAGTACTTTCTAATCACTTCCTAAGTACTTATATTAAGAAATACTAATATTTTATAGTTCTGCTAAACTAGACAAGGATGATATCTTATAATATCAAAATTTCCAGCAGTTAAATATTCATTATTCTTATCAGACATCAAATATGGAGGCAAATTACCTACGGCATATGAGTCGAGAAAGTAAGTAAATATCTAACTAGTTGTTAAGTGGTTACTAACTAGTTACTTTAGGAGGCCGTAAGCGCCGACGCTCAATATCCTCAAGTACTTCTGAAGCCTAAAGTACTTTATAATCACTTAGAGGTAGTGAAAGACTAGCTATCTCAAGGTCTTCCTCTTAAAGAGAAGATAATGAGTATGTATCCCTAAGTGCTTAGGAAGTACTTCTTTAGTACTTACTAACTAATTAGGTCTATACAATCTTCACAGGCACTTTGTCGCGTTGCCTTAATAAATGCACTTAATTTAGAGCAGAGATGTTAGGAACTTGAGCTTTAAAAAATGGAAATAGAACTAAAAAATAGGAGGAGGAAATTCGCCTGAAGCAGCTTGAGAATAAGAAGTTAGAACTAGATCTTATAGAGTGGTGAATTTGAATGCAGGAGCAATAATCAAGTAGTTAGTAACTGGTTAATAACTACTTAGTATTCATCACTCTTTACATATATATATACTTCTATAGACTTACTCTTAGAGTTTACTTTCACTTTACTTTCACTAATAATATGAAGTAACTATTTCTAACTACTTAGTAACTAGTTAATAATTACTTGGTCTTTATTGCTCTTTAAATATATATATATTTCTATAGACTTACTCTTAGAGTTTACTTTTACTTTACTTTCACTAATAATATAAAGCAACTGTTTTTTAATCAGTTTGTAATTACTTAGTCCTTCTTTTTAACCTGCTATGCTTTTAAGAAGTGACCCCCAATACTTATTAAGTATGAAAAATGAAAAGACTATTAACTACTTGTGAATTAGTTATAAACTAGTTTAGGCCTTAGTACCCTGTTCCTCCTCTGTCTCTATATATGATGCAGGACTTGGGCAGACTAAACCATAATTAAAGAGAATAAAATAATCACATTTATTCACATCCTTGCAGTAGTTATTATGCTTTCTATAAGAGTTATAAGGCACCTTGTGCCCAAGCTCAGCAACTTTCTTGCGCATATTAGTTACATGAACCTAAGCAGTTAGTAACCAGTTTCTAAGTACTTTAGAAGTAGTTCAGAAGGACTTACAGTACCGTCCTTCTTCACAGGTAGGGCAGGAGTAGAAGAACTAGCATTTTCAGTGCTAGAAGCACTACCCTCTCCTGCCTTCTAGGGTTCTGCGCTAGTAAAAAGACTTTTGTAGAACTCTAAGCAGTTCCTAATTAGTTCCTAAGTACTCTGTAATTAGTTAGTATCACCTACTGATTGCTTTATTAATTCCCTTCTATTTCACACGTCTGCCAGCCAGCCCCTTTTCCAGTTTGATGCCGTCATGGGTGAGCAAATGGGTATGGAGATTGTTCATCGCGGTATATTTTTTCTAAGCAGTTCCCAACCAGTTAGTAAGCACTTAGATAGACTGTAAATATACTTACCTGAGCTCTTACGCAGTCTAGGACCTGACAGAAGAGTTCACCATAGAAAATCTTCAGCTCATCATCTTCATTCTGCAAGTAGTTTAAAACTAGTTAGAAATTAGTTAGAAAGTGCTTATTAGAGTAACACTTAAGACTTACTGTTTCGTAGTCAGGCAATACAAGTTTTCCGCTCTTAACCTCATGAAGATACCACTGGTACCACTTCTTGAGTAAATTGTCAGCTTTCTCTGATCCTAATCACTATTTAATTAGTTAATAAGTAGTAATACTGACATTCGAAGCAAGCGTGGCCATGTTGATATGAGGTGGTGGAGAGGTAAAGGTAAAGGTAATGAAAGAGGTGGTGCGAGTTGAAATAAAAATCTGATGTTACGCGAGAGTCACATGACTGCTAACAGATTATTAAGCAGTTTCACCACGCCGGACTAAAAAAGTGACCATAGCCGATCTGCAACCACTTCTGTCTCGGGTACCAACCGATAGACAAGCATCCATCCCTTTTACATGTTACCAACCTTAGTGTCAGAAGAGAAAAGCGCTACCTGTCTGAGCACTTTCGCCCATGATCCACCCCTTACTTATCCGGCGTAATATCAATCGAACCCCAGAAAGAACTTCACGTTCACAATGACTGACCTGGACAAAGCAACACAGTGGGAGCTTATTGACCGAAATGGAATCGAACACCTTCACATCAGGACGACAACGGGCGGCTTGGTGGCTCAGAGCGTGGTGGTCAGGACTTGAAATAACGCAAAATACGGGATATTCTACTGGGTAATTCTTAATGCTAACTAGGCCGTGAGGGAGCTTGAGGTAAAGGACACAGTAACTAATCAGAAACAAGTTCTGAGTGCAGACGGCAAAGGAAAGTGGTTTAATGCTAGGGGAACCCACATGGCTGGACTTGATGGATGTATTGATATTGATATTTCTGCAACACTATTTACTAATACACTCCTGATCCATTACTTGTAACTAAAATAAGGCGCTGCGCAAGTTCTCCCTGTTATGTATATACCTGTTCCGGGTTTTAAGCCAGTCGCGGTGGAGCAATGATATACATGTCTGCAGCAGAACCGATTGTATCGCTACGAAGGCTTGGCTTCGGGATTTGTGGCGGAGCTTATTACAGACGAGGATGGTTTTATTGTCGATTACCCTGGACTTTTTAGGCGCTTATTTAAGGAACAGTCTAAGTCGATACACACCAACGCCCGGATTTGGTGCTGGCCAGCAAGGCCTAGGAAGCTACCGAGGCTAGAGGGTAAGCGCGGCTTCAGGATCACTTCCCAATTGTCAGGACTAGCATTTTGTACTTAAGGCAGGAGCGTCTTCTGTAGTCACTACTATTAATACCCCATCAATTCTGATCACCGTGATCACGTTACGGTAGTGGATACTATAACCCCAAGGTACTACTGTAGAGAAAAGCCGGTAGATGACCAAACGTATTTAGCCCCATCCAAAGCCCTTAACTTTGCAAGGCTGCTTATTTCTCGTCATCAAAGACTGGCTCTGGAATCGAGTGCAGGATCCAGAGGATATGGACCTGGTCGATGGAGATGGAGATGTATAGATGGCCGAGGCATGAATGGATTGATGGGGCGGATTCTCTCAATGCCAAAAATTAGGTGTCAGTTTAGAGACTCTGATCTCTACATAACCGACCCGCCTCACTAAAAAACAGTTGCCGTGCGATATACCCGGGCACTGTGGGTCATACGTGGATTGCGGATAGGGCCGTGAGCAGCTGGTGAAGGCGCTGTGGTATATGATAGCGAGAGATAGACCGAAGATTGCCTCGAAACACCTTGGCAGTGAACTAGACCTGAGACGCGCTGGTTGACAGCAGGTTGACGCAGACAGACGCTGGCAACAGAGTTGTAATTTAGCCATCATCCAGTGAAAGTTAGGAAGTGAAAATCCATTGTGAATGGAGGAGGGATATGACTCCTATTACCCGTGCCGAATGTGACGAGAAATAACCAGATGATTTCAGGTGGGTCAGGCCGGTCGTGTACAGAGTAGACTATTCCGTCCCGTTCGCTGGGAGGTTCTTGGTCAGTTCACCAGAGCGAACAGTAACGGTCAAGTCTCAGCATTTTCTATCGAAGTGCCGACTGCCTGGCCACCACGATACGGCGTTGGTTTTCTTTGACAAGGGTCAAGGGGTGGTTCGGGTGATTGTTTTGCCATAACGGACAGCTACGATTCAGTGATTCCTCTCCTTATTGACCTGGTCAAGATGCCTGACGAGTCGGCGCAGTGGGCATTTGGCAAAGTTTGACCTGGGCAAAGGAGATCGCAAAAATTCCCGGACTGGTGCCAAAGGAGCCTACGGAGTTAACATTAACCTGCCATCTGCTTCACATTCCCACGGGTCCGTCGCGAAATTAGCCGTCCGAATAACTGGTCTCAGATTGCGTTTCCTCTGTGCGCTCGGACGAGATCTCGACTGAAGCTCTTGTCAATCCTATGAGGGGGAACCATGCCATTCTGTTCCTGATATAAGCTTAGGCTTTTTTTCCTGTCCACATTGCAATCATCCGATGATCAGCATAACGGCGCCTCTATATGTACCTCTCGCATTCAACATCCCGGCTATGTCATGTGAGTACTTGAATGTGTCAATAGTTGAACAACTAATTAGTCAAAATTATCTGGGTTACGCAATTCCTGCTACATACGGGCCAGCTCCTGTTAACTTTCTCATGTCTGAAGTATCAGAGATTCCCCAGTGTCTTCCTATTCCAGTGGAATACGCCCTGACAAATGAACTGTTGGGCTACAGTGGATTGAAGCAAGAATTGGGCTTTACCGCATAAAGGGGGTTATGGAGTTAATGAGGCGATAACAATTCCGTTTATAGAGACTTTTATTATGTCTTCGCAAACACTGATATCCCGAGATAAAAAATCTATGGTTACCGCGGAACTTCCGAAGTACTTAAAAACTTTGAAGATCTTATTATGACTGCTAGAGTGGATCTGAATGCTCATCTTAAAACTATTAATGAGAGACTGGAGTATGTAATTGGAAAAGATGCATTAGGATATAATAGAGATGTTAGAGCTCCAAAGGATGAAAGATTACTAGTTGAGCATAGAGAAATATCTAAATTTACGCCTGGGTGTCTGACTATATTAGCATTCAGATCACAGCCGTTGGCAGTGGCTCTCTAAGTACATCTGACCTGGGTACCTTACCTAAAAGGCTCACCAAAGCGGGTCTGCAGGGATGCAGAGATAGCCTCAAGCAAACTTCCGCGACGTTAGAGAGACATATGGTCAAATAGCAAAGTGTTTTTTTTTTTTTTTTTCAACATTTTCCATACAATTACAGGCTTCAGAACGGCTCAGTAACTTCACACCTATTACTCTACTGTACGTCAAAACCGGAACCGTCACTACTACATATACGCGCACTCGAAGCCACCACCTCCTCAATCCACAACCCTTCACCCAGATCCTCAGGCTGATTGGTGTAAAAGAACTCCCCGAGCAGGCGCCGTGCCTGATTCCTGTCGCTGAGGCCAAGGCGCCGCGCCACATGCGCAGAATGAAGAACAAACCATGAGTGAGTGTTTTTGTTACCCTTGGCCGCCAACACTCCTAAAACAAGCATCCAGAGTAGCAAGTCAGGCGCGGCCACCAGGAGGTAAGGAACTCGGGGTTCAAGAATGTGCTTGAAGGTTTCCACCATGTGGCGCACAATGGGCAGAGATTGGAGATGGGAGACACAGGCCCATAAGTACATGATAATGGAGTAGCGGAGAGGCGGATTAATATAATCATTCATCTTGTATGATGTTGGACTGTTGGCAGGAATAGCGGAGAGGAAGTCGTGTTGAAAGATGGGGAAAAGATCATTGTCGGTGGGCCCTACGATTTCGGGATATGCTTTGCCAAGCTCGAAATGCTGGATGAGCCTTGTGAAGATCGTGAGAAAGTCMTTTAGAGATGGAGAAACCTCTGTGTACCAGGGGGAGCTAGCAGCAAAGCGAGAGCCGAGAGTAGCGATATAGGGTGGGATTACGAAGTCGATTGCGTAATCATCATCAGGCCTTGGATGAAAAATGGCGGGCTCGTGAAGTACCTCGCTGCGAAACTTCGCCGACATTGGGATGATCGGCGGTTTGTTCTGCAGGGCAGCATACCCCGAGACAGCGCTGGTCGCATTAGCCACGAACACAACAGACATTAAAAAGGGGACTTGTACTGGTATACGCTGGAAAGTGTCATGTGCTCGAATGCATCAAGACCGCCAGCTAGTTCTATAAGCGTAGCCAGGCCTTTCATATGCGTCTGCAGAGCCGCAAATTCGGCATTGATGGTCTAAGCAGACTAGTTAGCAACCAAAAGAGCCTCAAACATGACTCATCAATTGGTCAGAACTCCATACCTCGATTGTCACGATTGAACCAACAGTTAACACTGTAGACTCTGCCACTGCAGTTACGGGATCCTGCAGTAAATCGTTCAAGGCCCTGATGGCGTTTGTTCGATATTTTATGCAATCTCTGAGTGACTTTTGGCTTGCTACAGAAGAAACACCATTGCGAGATTCAAGAGCCGCCTTGTGTCCAGCCCCGATACAGAGTTTAGTGTGGAGGAGCGCCGGGGAAATGAGCGACCTTTCAGTCCACCAGGTGTTCATCCGATCAACATTAAACGGATACGATTTGGGAATCACGTAGAATCTGTCTGAGAACATTTTCAGCGCCAGCGGCGAATATGAGAAAGTTAGTAGTAAGCAGACGACCTACAATGACGAAAATACACATGCATGGCGTTGCTCATTGGCACAGGGTAGGCGTGAAAAGGGTCGGCATGGTTCTGGCTGATGACGGTGGATGCTCTGACTGGCAACATACTATTGTCATATATCAGATGAGGAATCTGTGTCTTCTTTCCATGTACGTTTTCTGTCTCCTCTTCTCGCTGCGGCGTACGGGCACTGAACGGCTGGAACGATTTCAACCGATCAATAGCCTCTTTCTTCCTTCGCTGATCGGCTTTTCTCGCAACAAATGACATTATTTCCCTTCTCATGCTGGCGAATGGCGAAACATCAGCCTGKGTGTTCACAAACATAAACTCACGATGCCCCGGCTGAGGTATGGGGCGCCGGGTCCCGTCATCTATCGGGGTCGATGTTTCCTATGAAGGAAATATTAGAGACTGAGCTTATTTTGGACACACGCACACATACAGGCATGGAAATTTTGTCCTCAGACGTTTCGTCGAACTGCATGGCCTTTAGACAACTGCCCGGTGATGGTAATATATTTCGCGACTGTGTGAGGGTGGGTCGATGGGCGATAAGACTGCAAGCGACAGTAGGAGAGACCAGTGATAATCTTCATAGCCCCGATTCGCAATCAGAACTTTTTGGTTCAAGCTTGGGGCTCAAATCTATCGAAGTGATGATCCGGGATGGTTTCAGACCAGAGCAGCGGAAAGGAATGCGGGAGAAGGAAGGAGAGAGAAGTGCTAATGGAGCCACGACTGCCAATAAGAGTTACCTAGCGTCCCCGCCCGCGCGGGGCCATGCAAACCGTGTCTAAACGAGCGATATGTCGGGAAATCCTCCGGCCAACCGTCCCTGACTCGTGTATCTTCAGAACTAGGCAGTCAGTCTTCATTTTATCCAGCACCCGCTGGATCATTCAATCTTCCGCGCCTTTCAGAGATTGCTGGCGCCAGTGGAGGGGCGTCTTCTGGAGGTTTTGGGGGCCTGACAATGAGGGACGTAAATCAGCTTCGGAATAATTGATCTTGGGCCGCCTATAGTACCTGTCAATTCTAGTTGGCAGTCTCAGTTGCGCTAAGATTACATAAACCCTTGGTCATCCTTGGAGGCTCAAAATAGTCAACCCCAATAAGAACGTTAATTCTATTAACACACTTTTATGGGAAGCTTTTTTTTTTAAACCTTTTTAAAATATACTTTAAGGCACCAGTGTGAACGCAGTATAGCTATATTGCGCTGTATGTGTATGAGGAATATGGAGGCGGAAACTGGTGGTCAGAGTGCGTAGGGGGGCTATATTATAGAACTAATCGCTGACCGCCTGAAGGGTGAGGGAAGCGACAAGTGAAATGCGATTAGGCGGACAAAAGGACTCTAGTATCGCAGAGCACAAGAGCGGAAAGAGTGAATGTCGTCCATCGGACCTGCCTTCCAAGTGTTGTGAGATGTCTGCCGGTCTAGGACGCAGTGGGAGAACGAAGCAGGCGCGACAGTGGCCGGGGTTCGGTCGCACTTTCCTTCTTTATGTACGGTTTTGGTTTAGCTTTACCTTCCTAAAGGGAAGTATCCTAGAGAGAGGCTGGAGTGAGAATATCCGTGGCATGGCCTACGTAACATATATATGCGTGGAAGGTGGGAGACACAACAAGTGAGGCAAGCAGTAGCAAATGTGCGATACTAGATCACTAATCAGGGTGTCAGTGGGAACAAAAGAACGAAAGTAAATGCAGCGCGAAGGACAGGTAGATGCCAGTGGCAGTCATAGGACGTTCAAAATATGATATTATTCTCTGCATTGATATAGAATGTGGGAAAACTCGTGACAATAAGATCCTTTTGTCCCTTCCAGTAGGATAGCCAAAGATCGATACACATATATTGTTTCAGGACTGTTATGTGAGACCATAATGACTCCGGTAATTATGCGGTGGTGAATGAAGCTGCATCCCACCCGTAAATCCTCCTTAAGCGATTAAGAAAGTAAATCAACTTGTATCCCTCAATGCGCGAATCTTGAGGACGGTCAATGGTAGAAGACCTAGGAGGCGAGAAATCCTTCGGCGGGTTGAACGTGATAGAACTGAATTGAGGAATCAAAGAGAACTTCAGATCCGTCATGGTTGATTAGAATGCTGCCCAGGTGATTGAGCCTTGCGACTCGGCCTTTGAGAATATGGTGGAGAAAATGTCCAAGGTAGCCTGCTTCACTGTGTGTACAGGAATCGGGTCTGAGCTTTCTGTTTCTGTTGGAAGCGCTTCCGTAGGGACGATGCTTTTGCCTTTTTGCAGCGTTGCTCGAAGATGATTGCGGTGCTCTGTTGCTCCGTAATCCACAGCTTTGCGTTTAGCTCCTTTTCCACCGCTTGTCCAGCCTCTGTGCTTTGCGCCTGAACGGAACTCATAACCTCTTCAGCGAGGCCGTCATAGAGAAATTCCAAGCCAGGGCCCGCCTTCTCCACGATATAGTTGTCCAATGCGGCTAGCGCCTCTCTCGCAATTCCGGGCTCAAGCAGATTATCGATGGGAGCTGCAGGTCGACATCGTCCGAAAGCTCCTCAACCTCACAGACCAATGCCTTGATTTTAGGGAGAGAGAGCTGGCCCTTCTTGCTGTTTGCCAGAGGTGAGGGAAGAGAAGTTGCCAGAGCCTGGATGAAAGCCGCTGTAACGGAAACATCTGCGAGAGCTTCAGATTCCTGTTCTGTGAGTTCGCTCGCCAATGTCGGATGAGTACGCGGGAGATCATCGAGTTTCTGAATCAGAGAAATTGCTTTGAGGGCGTCGGTCTTGGTGTCCGTAAGTGCCAAGACGTATTGTAAGAGGGGATTCTCCTGTGCGAATGACTCTGGCTTGACTGTCATTACAACACGCGTTGCTGCCTTGTTGCCGCCAGCGGAGGCTCGTCTGAAAAATTTAGTGGCGGAGCAGGTGTGAACATAGCGCTTGAAAGGCTTTTGCACCCTGCTGTATTCAAACTGGGACGCGTTTGAAAGCTCCTGAAGAACGATTCCTCGATAGGTCCTGTCGTCAGGTTTGTCAACCAACCCTTGAAGGAGCCGGCAGATATACTTCCAAACAGCAGCTTCCACAACGGCCGAGTGAAGAACTTCGAGAAACGCAACGCACTTGTACGTATTAGTGTAAAGAGGGAGACGCCGTCCCTTTTCATCCAGCAGCAGCTCCGGGCGGCTCATAAACCACATGTTGACAGTGGGGGCAACGAACGCAGGCTCGGTGCGGCACAAGGTGGGGTAGTCGTCTGCAGCAGATTCCTGGTCCTGAGCACGGAGAAGAAATCCCGACACTGGTAGTTTCTCGGGTTTCGCCGGTGCTGGTTTCGCTTGTGATTGCTCCTTACGAATTCTAGACACGGAAACTACGGAAAGTAAGGAGGCTGTACAGAAGCCTCGTGCCTTATCGGAAGTATATGGAGAACAGGACATTTTAAAACAATGTAGTAAGACAAACATATAATAGAGTGATCTTGTATATAAGACCAAGTAGCTTTATTTTAGTGGCCGCACTACGCTGGGCCCCTCAAAGCCATTCCCCGTTCAACAGGAGACACCAGCCACTGCTTCGTCTGAGGGTCCAGGCACTCCTTTTCTGCAGCCTGCCACTCACTCCGCATCATCTCCGCCMGCTCCTTGGATTGCGGCGTGATTCTGGCCGGGAATTCCTCGGGCATGCAAACAAACCCCTGAGTCAGGCGGTCCGCATCCGGGATTACCTCCTTACCCTTGTCATCCAGGGCAGGCCGAATATCAAACACCCACAGGATCCGCGACATGCCGAGGAAGAGACGGGGCTTGGCAACATGAATGCCTGCAGAGACGGCGACCTGCACCGAACGTAAATGCATCGCGTTTTGATGCATCTGGATTCGCAGCAGCGTCGCCGCGGCTTTGTTGATCATCCTTGTAGCGGCCTGGGTTGAACTCGGGAGGAGTGGAATGGCGCTTGGGGTCCATGTGGATGCCCCACACGTTGTTCATCACACCTGCGCCCTTGGGGATGAAGTAGCCCATGTACTCATCATCTTGTGTCACGGCATGCGGGACCGCGCCTAGGATAGTAGTCGGCATCCATCGGAGAGTCTCTTTTATACACGCGCGGATATACTGCAAATCAGCTAGACCATCCATGACCGGGAGGCGACCAGGTCCGACAACGCGGTGAGAATGCATAGAGAGTACTCGAGGTTGTGTCGGAGCCGGCCTCTAGTAGCGTACCCGAGATGTAAGAGGCTTAAGCGATCGTCGCTAAAGCCGTCGCGCTTCTGGGCCTCGTACATGCCAATGCAGAAGCATGGCTTAATGTTGTTGTTTCGAATGTCCTCTTTTGCCTTTAGCCAGTGACCCTTGTAGAGGGCCTTTTCATGCTTGTGCAGTTCTCTCGCTTTATTCTGAGTTGGAAGCAAGAAGGCAGGCGATTTGCGGAGCAGGGGGATGAAGTCGATGAATGCGGCGGCGCCGGTTTGGTTGATGGCCGCGAATTCGGAAAACCTATCGAAGAGCTGTTTCATCTTCTGGTCCTCGTAGGTCGGAGTGCGCCAGCCGAAGACCATGGTCGTTGTCAGGGCATTAGAATATCGCCGGATGTGCTTGAGGAAGTCATCGGGCGTATTGTCTCAATAAGTCCGGAGAGCATTTCGTTATCCTGTTCTAGAGATTCGATCTTGCGCTTTAATGGGATTTCGCAACGCCCATTACCCTCTTTATATCACACAATCTTCCCGCTGCAACGGCAAAAATAGCATGGACTAGCTCCATCACACTATAAAGCAATTAGAAGAGTCCCCACGAGATAGTGAAATCATGAGATTTGCTATTATCCATTTTCCAAAGCTTCTGCAGTGTAAAGACTTTCTCCATGAGAAAGGTATACTGTATAGCCGCTGAAGGGCTTTGCAACTGAAGATCAGGGGAGTCGGTGAAAAAGTTGAGTGAAGTTCGTTTGCCATCAGCAACCTGATATGCATTGCAGCACATTATCAGTATAAGAACTCTGATTTCAAGACCAGGCCAGCATTGCCATTGCCAGAATACCAGGCGAGGAAAGCTGGAACAGCAAACTGAACAATGAAAGGAAGCATACAATTATGGTCAGAACCTCTACAGATTCAGCTTGTAAGGATATCCAGATCGTTATGCGCGGGTGTCTACTGTTATGGCAGATTCTCTTAGGGAGGCATTGAGGGTAGCTGTCCAGTCCCATTGACTACCTCACCAGCGCTGAGAATCAGCCAATGTTGCAGGCTTGTACGTCACAGGGGAACCAGAGCTCATTTGACCTACAGGATGCTTCTTCATCCGTAAATGCCATAAGAAGATATTACTGAGCCCTGGGCAACACGTCCGAAGTGCCGAAACTGATTTATGCGGTGGTGGTTGGTTAAGAACATCCACCGCTCTAAATAGAGCAGTTAAAGAGTCATTAATAGAAGATATATAGAGTCACCATCTGCAATAACTGATTTAATTCCAATATCTGGTTATAGAACTTGGTGGGTATCAATAAATTGCAACCTAAACAGCAGCAGTGGTCAGGCAGAGAAAGCCCAAGTGAAGGTCCTAGACCCCCAAAACCATAATAGAACCTAATCTGAGTCTGTTGGTGGCTATCTTCACCTGAAAAGGAAAAAGGAAGGGGGTTCAAAAGACAAAAGAAACAAGACCTGTCAGGTGCAATGCCATCCTATTCACCCATAAACTTTAGTCAGGGCTTCTTGTGCTACAAGATCTTTGATTCTCATCTATAACTGCCTCTTAATCCACTGAGGAGAGTTACTAGATTGCGTCTGCTCAAGCCATGGTCGGATTGGGACCCAGTATTATTCATTAGTAACTATGTTCCTTAGTGGCTATAATTCTATGTTACATCGCATGTTTTTGGTTGACCTAGCCAGCTATTGTGAATTTATGAAACATATTCGGTCAAATTTTAATGTCAGTCGGATAGCCACCTACGGTCGATCTTCAAGTATTCGGTTATTCTCATTGTTTGGCCGGCAATCGTCAGGAAATTGCAAACCCAATACTGTATCTTGAGACCCATAACTATAACTGTTTAACTGTTAAATAGACTAATAAGAGTTGKCTATATAGCCTGATATAGCTAAGTGCTGGAAAAGAGGGGGAGTCTGAGTGGCAGCTCCTTATTTAAAAGTTCTTCCGCCCTGTGAGTGAACTTCGCGAGTCTAGGACAACCTTATCAATTAGATTTTAGTGCAATATATTTAGGTTCAGAGGACAGGTCTCCTTGAGATATGTTGAGTATAAGTTAATTAGCAGGAAACTTAAGTTCTAGCTGCCTCTATACAAGCACTAGAAGCATAATTGCTTTTGACCTATATCCACTGCTGGATGGGCTTGAGCCACCTACTTTAATCAAGCTAGCCCTAACTAGAATCCTTCTCTACTTAGAGAAATATCTCCAGATGCTGAACAATAATGAGAGCATTTCTATCAACCATAGTGATAGTCTATTTAGTATGCATCTTTGCAGGTAGTTAAGGCGGCTTTTTATAATCCCTAAACCATAAGTGATTGAAGGCCTACTTACTAGTTGGGTCTGTGTTATCCTCTCTGCAGGGCCTTCACCTGGTCACTTAGATCAGACTACACGTTTGAAAGTTGGCGAAAGTACAATTCAACTCTTAGAAGAAGATCACAAACTCCTTGCCTCTGGAAGGCCATGGCAGGAACAGATAGAAGTAGATGAAGACCCCGAGGAGGAACCTGCGTCCTCTGGCGCGCTGGTCTCCAACTGAGCTGGCAGCATGACTGGGGTTCTGGGGACATGTCTGTGTGCGACATTTTATCTGCTGACTGGATTAATTAGACTAATAGGCGAACAATGACCTGCTGGAAAATGAGCCTTTTTACTACTACCTTATTTATTCTACTATAGTCACCTGTTATTAGGCAGGGTAATCTTTTTATAGATTTTTTTAGATACTTATAAGGCTTTGTAGAGAGTACTAGCCTTTTTTCCCTCTCTCCTTCTTAGTACTATTAGCCTCTAGGCTTTTCTATGATTAACTAGTATAGGGGTGATTGTTATTTAGATAGGTAGGTAGGTAGTGGTTTTCATAATATAGTATAGATACMCTAGTTTCTTGTTCCTTATTCGTGTGCAGATTAATCTTAAGTTATATTTTATATATAGGGTATTATTTGTATATAGCCCTTTAAAATTATTAGTATAAATAGGAGAAAATAGAGTCCCTGATAGTATTAGTCTTCTAAAATATATTTCTACACACAGGTAGTGGAGTATTACTAGGTTAAAGTATAAAGAAAGACCTTCCTCCCTGCTTCATACCTGACCTAGCATTATAGTTAAAGGCTTTTCTAAGAAGAGGCAGTCTTCTTCCTCTAGAGTAGTAGTAAGAGTGATTATAATAATTATAATCTCTAACTATCCATTCCATCCATCCCTGGAGGGTGGGAATCATCGATGTTGAAGTTAATGAAATTAATCCCCTTGTGTAGGGGCAAGACCTAACTATAAAGATAATAAGGTAGGGGCTAGAGGAAAGTTATAGAGATTTATCCTTAATTTAGGGAAGAGAGTGAACTTCACTATACACTTCTCAGATTTTTATTATAGGATAGACTAGTTATTATTAAGTATACCTATAATTAATTAGTAGAGGATATAATAATACCTATTTAATAGTAACAGGGGGGAAGTACTGAAATCTCTCTACCCTTTAGTCTCTATCTACTAGTTATGACTCCGTGCCCTTACTCCTATTATTATTAAAAAATATTTAATCCCACTTGACACTTAATCAACAATCAATTGTTGATTCATTATGGGGGAGTGGTGTAACTAGCTAATATAGACTCTAAACTATGGATGGACTCCAGGGTAGGTAGGTAAACTGTGATAATTAAAACTATGGTAAAGACAGAGGATGTCCATGGACTCCTGTCTGCAGTGGACTGTGGACTCTACCAAGGCAGGATGTGGACTCTTGGGGGATGAACCTAGACTCCAGGGAGCAAATGTGGACTCTGCCCTTTCTGCGGTCCAGAGGGGTTGCGGGCAACCGTAATCAGTATAGGACCCGTGGACTCCGCGCACGACACCATTACTAGGGACGAATGGAATGATACCCGGATCGTCCCTCCCAGACCACGGGTGCGGGGAGCCAGGCCCGATGTCGTCGCCGGACTGGGGGGTGGCGGGACGCATAGGAAGAGGCCCGGCGGGGACTTGCGGAGCCATCGTGTAGAGCTACCACAGGCTAATAACTGGGTAGATAATGAGTCATCTATAAAGACATACTAATATTAGACTCTCTAGGTCTATATTCTAATATGCCTGGGCCAGGCACTAATAGTCTAAATAGACTAAATCTCATCTTTACAGAAGGACAGAATGAGTAACTTAATACTATAATCTAACAAGCAGTAGCAACATCTATCCAGACCCTGGTTAATGCTCAGCTAGCTACCTAGTAAGGTAATACTAGGCAGGCTAATAAAATAACTGGAAAAGCTAATAAATTTCCTGATGATTAATATTACACTTACTATAATGATGATTAAAGGTGTAGTTGTGATATAAGTAATACAGGAAATCATGACTAACATCGCTAATCTAGGCACAGACAAAGACATCCTAATAATGACTATAATCCAAGCAGTTCAAGTGATGGTGAGGACTATCTTCCTGACAGATGCCCTCGTGGAAGTGCCTGGAGTTCTTACAAAACGGAAAATCAGGTCCAAGAAAAACCAACCGGAGGCAATTGGCGTGTACTGTTATGTACCAACAGTTTGCTGACTCAGTCATGTGATCTTATGCCTACTACTTCTTAGCTAGCTTAGTCTTGACTTACGAATGGCAATCATCTTCCCCGAAAGACGGCATCGACCACCATAACCATACCAGCTAACTATTTATTATTTATTGTAATATATATATTATGATGCAGTCCTGGGAGGCATAATTCTCCTGCACAAAGAGAAAGAGAAGCAAAGACACTAGGAAAGCATCTTCAAATAAGTATGGGGGATACACTCTTGTCTAGCAGCCCGCCTTGCGCTGAAAGTCTCTTKCCACCCCTACACCTATCTGGGTGACGCGCATTACTATTTGTTATTGCATACTTCAAGAGGAGTTTCAATATTCAGGCGACTTACCTGCCGCTTCCAGTACCTTCTCCTGGCCCGTCTTTCCATCACTTGAGGTAATTATCCACAGGTCAACCATTCGGAAATCGCGGTTCCCGCTAGACAAACTGAGGAATGCTTCGCTCCTCTTCACTGAATCCGAAAGATCCCAGGATATGTCATCGCTGCTCTGGAACTCCATCGCCATGACATGATTTAGACCGTGGTTGTGGAGTGAGCAGCCGGATACATGGACGCCAGTCCGGTCTCGGAAACGGCTTCGGGACAGGAGGGACACGACTTCGAGGAGTAGTCGTCTGTCAGTTAGATAGTTGTCGCTCACTAGGAGCCTCCGGCATCGCCCAGCCCGGTGCCGAAACGGAGTAAGGAATAAATTAATCATTTATCTTATTCATTCATGGTTCCATGGTCCACAAAGAAAACCCTACCGTACAGGAATAGATCCCACCTCAAAGAGCTCAGTAGCCCGAAATCCACGTAGGTCATCACCATCGACTTCCCAGCCTTCATCTATCAAAAAGCCATCCAAGTCCCTCTTCAACTCTTCGGCATCCGCGTAGCCGTATTCCCAGCACTTTCGTATAATATCGCCTAAATATTCCCTTTCAAGGACTGGCCATTGGTGCTCTACCACCATATGCCGTATCTCTGCATCCTGCCTGTCCTGTTCATGGCCAGGCCAGGACTCCGTCATAAGCTGATAGACAAGACATCCCCAGAGAAAAAGATCGGTATGAACCGTAGCCACTTGACTATGTTGTCGCGGTATATTGCAGGGATGAAACGGCTCATACCTCGCAGTTTCATTAATATACTTCCTCCTTGTCTGACTATCAATGTAGACAGCGTCAAGAAAGCCGAGCAGCGAAAGTGAAAGTGAAGATGATAGCCAGCATAATTCAACTTGCAGATCGCCAAAGACAATGTTTTTTGAGTGCACAAAGGACAGTGCTGAGACCAGATGTAATGCCCATTGGTAGATCAACGGGCGACAGTTAGGCGTAATCCGTGACGGCCCATCCACATTGGAGTACAGGGTCGATCTGTGCATGGCCACGAGCTGATCAACTGTAGTTGATGGCTTTTCAAGGATAGGAACCCCAAAAAATGGATCGCGGCGATTGAAACGAACGATTCGTGGGTGGGTTTCCGCGAGCTGCTCATACACACAGGTGGTCTTCCACACACGTGTCAAGTCCMCAGACATCACTTGTGGGCCTGAAAAAGCATCAGGCTCGTCATAAATGTCTAAATTGTTGCATGACATGTCATTGAGGTGGTCCTGACTCAAGAGAACGACAGATTTTTCGTCGACCTGCATCGCTATTACATTGTCTATAAATGCTCGAAATCTTTGCTCCAAAGGGATGTTGGCTAAAAGTGAGGGGCTCATGAGACGCCTGAGCAAATCTGGTCGAGACCCCGGAAGAGGCCGTAAAATGCGACTACATCGACCACCGGTACGTGCCATGACGGGGCTGTAGATATAAGGAGAAAGTGCGCCAGGATATGTATATGGGATAGTGAGTGTATGAAGTTATGAACTAGGCAGTAGCTAAAATGTATCTTTAAGTTACGTGAACTTACGTCACTAAAAGGAGTCACATGTAAATATCTACTTAGAGCGCCAAGAGATTTGGACATACAAATTTCGTAGGATTAATATCTTGCATGTCTGTGAGCCATAACATGCTATCTCATGTCTAAAATGGGGATTATTCTTGTGCGTACTCTTTAGAGAGAAATCTAGTAGGTTGTGTGAGTCCTAAAAGTACTACTTAATCTATTACATTATGATCAAAAGTCTGTGCACACTCCAAAATATCGAAAATATCGACCATCTTCAATCCCATAATTCTCAACTACCATATGACTGCAGAATAGAATAATAAACTATAGGGTAGTAGATATTAAAACTTTAGTGTACCAGCCCCTTTCCTGGTATACTGCACGCAATCTACACGGTCTTGAGCCTATAAGACAGTCAATCACCTCCTGAGGGGTAGCATTAAATGCCTCGTGGATAGCATTTTTAAATCCCCTCCAATTAGCCTTTGATATGCCTCCTAGAAAGAGGTCAGGATAGGGTTCTAAAAGTCCTTCTTTGAAAGGTTCCAGAGGTGTTTAATTGGGTTTAAATCAGGCCAATGCGATGGCCATTCCATTATGCAGATTCCATGAGATTGAAACCACTCCTGCGCCTGTTGGGAAGTATGGATTTTAGCACTATCTTGCTGGAATAGAACCAGGCCCATAGATTGGATTGAGGCCATCTTCGAGGCATTTTAAACAAGAATTGGTTGGTATAACCTCCTCGAGGGGCCAAATCGTCACCATCTATAATGATTAGATTTGGATGGCMTCCAATCCAGATTGCACCCATATCATCTGTGAAATATCTTTCCCATGGTTCACTAGGTTAACTGGATCGTGCCGGTGTGCATCATTTGAGAATTGAAAGATGAATTGGTGGAATATTTGTTTTTCTTTGGGTGGAATGTTTGTCAGAATATAGCACACCTTTCCAGTGAGGGAAATTAAGCCGCGTACGCACAAATTTGTACCGTTCTTTAATTTTCTCTGGGTTTAAAGGTATTCTCTTCTTGCTCTTCCACTCCTTGAGGTCATATTTCTTCAAAATACGTTCAATAGTTGACTTAGATACCCCTCAGGCGTGCGAACGACCCTGGCCTTCCAGCTCATAGATGACCTCCGCCGGACCATCTGGTAGATGTAACGCTTAGTAGAGGCAGTAATCTTACGGGGTCGACCAACGCGAGGCCTTGATCTCAAGGTTTGGTGCTGTTCATAGCGCTTCTTGGTGTTGTAAATTGTGACTGACGCCAAATTCGTTCGCTAGTTGCGTAGGCGAACCCATTCCTCTTGGCCATATAGAATAGCCCCGCGTGATTCAGACGATAATCAGCGTTAGGACTTCTATCTCCAACAATTTCGGTTCCAAAAGACATCGTTGCGATGGATTTGATAATGGTTGAAAAGAATGTCGATTTTTGACGGGTGGCGGATAAGTGGAGTGTGCACAGTCATTTTGGCCCCTATGTATTCAGTGTCCATAACGCTTGTGGCAGAGTTTAGATTGACGCCATATAGTGTTATCGAACCTATTCTATAGTGAATCGCAAAAGTAAGCGTTGTATACATTGTCGACTACCCTGTAAACGCTCCAACGGTTGAGGTTGGGAGATTTGTGCACTTATCAGTACGATCCAGCTTAACCTTCTGAATCTCCCCCCGATTAACAGCCATGATCTTGCCCCACCGTTGAGCATAAGCAGCCCCTGCAAATTTCCTTTTCATGTTCATCATTTTAAGATCACTTCTTGCTTGTGTCACTACCATATCCAGCTCACTTTGAATGAACTTTGGCCATTCATCGGCCATGGTGCTAACAGCACCGGTGTAGCTCTGATACCATGAGTTGAAGCAGTGAAGTACATCCAAAATACTGTTATATGTATCGCAGAATGACTCCCATATTGTGTCCAAGTTTATGTAAGTGAAGATCATGCCCACCTCTCGCGCCTCTAAGAGTTGATTGCCACCTTTCTCATCTTGGTTGAAGCTTGATTGTGCGACGGATGCCGTTCCTTTAAATAATCTGCCTTTCTTGCTGTGACGGCGCGAGAGGAAAATGGTCAGGCGATCCTGGTTATTAACTGAACTGAGTTCCTTAAATATAAGGTGGATCCAGGCCTGGCCATTCAGAGGCTGAGTAGGAATATCCTGCAGGATATATCTCTTGCCCTATAAAGCTGGCCGCGTCTTTGCTGCATGGTATGGCATCCAAGCCATGAAGAACCTTGTAATTGTTTGAGCCTTAAATACATGCTCTGTCTGGTATAGCTGGTGGTAACTGACCCCATGTTTGTAGACATTCAGGCCACTACCATGCTTTGGCCAAGGACACATGAGGTCGTAGCTGGGAAATTGCGCCACGTTGGAAGTGCATGAGTCGCTGGAATTGTGGAAATACTTCTTGACACCTGTATAGGGAGACTTATTGAAGTCTTTGGTCGTTTGAGGACTTGTCTAGTAATCGGGGTACTGAGGATAAGGATTGGATATAATGATGATCACTTCAGAGTCCGGATGGGTAGGATCAACTGCTGGATTCCAAAATTTGGTTTGCTTCACCCCTGTTGAAATGCCTCTTGCACGTGCAATCAGATCAGAGAATCTCTCCTTGATTGATTGTTTATATACCGAAGAGCCCAGGAGTCCAGAGACTGACATATAACCCCACTGGTCATCCTCAAGATCATCGGGCGCCAGCCAGGCACAACCACAGCAGTCATTATCTGCATTCAAATTTATGACGCAAGAACCACAGCCATTGCAGTTGATTTCAGGGACTGAGAGGCGCGAGCTGCCTGCTGCCTCTCTGTTGATAAGGTCAGTCAAATGGGGAAGTCCTTCAAAGCCATTGTAATCACCGCGTGGAGTAGAGTTGGTTTGTTTTTTTCTTCTGGTTCTCCTTCTTCTCGTCCGTTTCTTCCTTCTCATGACTTTCCATATTTTCAAGTAAAACAAGATCTGAGCTTGAGTGAGAAGCTAGGCTGTTTGAGCTACGTGCGAAGCATTGCTGATCCATTTGAGAACCTTTGGTGATGTACTGATTCAGTGAATTCGCACCCTAACTAACATACTCACCGTCGGCAAGGAGAGCATATTGAGTCTGGAATATGCTAGGAGTCAGGCAAACTTGATTTCCGGCGCCTGAAAACTCAAAGTGAGCAGCAAGACTCTGCTTGACAGAGATGTCGGGCATATGCCCGTCCACCGCTGATGACCAAGGTCTGGAAAACACTAATGTTACCTTGAGCCCCAATGTAATATTGAGAGCAAGACTAATGTCAGATAATGGAGTGTTATCGCCGACAGGGGTTATGCTGTTTCTCTAGCTGACTTGTAGTGCCGGTGCTGTTATCCCAGATAGAGTACTTGGAAAGTATATGTTTGAAACTGATCCCTTTGTTCCCTATTTACTGTGTTTTATTAGTGAATCTTGCCCTATATGAGGGAGCGCAGATCTTATGCTACAGCCTTTGACTCTATGTATCTATTGAAGGAAACAGCTTAGCTGGTTTTGCCCATAGTCTTGAGCTGGATGGCTTGTTCTATGTAGCTGATGAAGGAGGCCCAGCCATGATAAAGTGAATGACCTGCTAAAGTTCTTTTTCTAGATGACTTGGTAATGGTCTCACCATTCTTCTTTGAAGAGTCCAGTGTGCCAATCCTAGTGATGGTGAATGTGGTAGATGTTGAGCTATTAACATTCAGAAATCCGGCTGCTTTATGGACTTTGACTGTACTACTTGGGTCCCACGTCGCAATCATTGAGAAACTGTAGTAGAGACTGATGTTAAGGGTGCCCTCTATTGTTGCAGCAATCCCTTCATCTTACTGGCTGTCTGAAGTTGGATATATTTCAGTGTTATAGTACATGAGGTGGTTGATAGTTGTATTGCTTGAGAGGTCACTGAAACCCTTTGAATCTGGACTTAGAGTATTGAATTTGCCAAACTAGTTGTGCTTGTTGTCTGAATAAAACTGTTCAACAAGTTCTTTGGGGTCATGCTTTAAGCCTGTGCCCCCTGAGGTTGTACCTGCTGAGTTAATGACTGCATTCCAGTACCTGGTAATATTAGAGTAATCCATGCGAATAGAGATTGTGCCGGCATCTCTGCGGACCAGGGGCATATTGTAGTTGAAGCGGAAGTCATACACTGCAGATGTGGATTCTTCAAGGCCAGGTGGGCGGGGATAGACTGGTTATGCGATGGCTGCAGAGACATGGCCCTGATATAACTGCCCCCTCTGTACTCTTGAGGCATGTGTATGATAGTCCCTTTAATACCATTCTCCTGTACTTTGAAGGTACTCTTCTATATCTTGGTCCACGTAAATCACCCTAGTAGTGTGCGCGGTCTTAACAGGTGTATTAAGAATATCTCCAGGGCAGTCGAGAAAATGCAAGCCAGGATTGTCCCTTTTAGATATAGAGGACACCACTGTACTAGAACTAGCCATGAGGAAGAAGGCTATACTAGTGAGATTGGGATGAGCATCCCCTATACTGGTGGCGCCACCGAAATTAATCAATTCAAACTGAGGTTGGGCGTCCGCAGAGGGAAGATATTTAGGCGGAAATATCTTGTTAAAGTCTATAGGTAGAAAGGGCTGGTTTGCCCTTCCAGGTGCATTACAGTAGAAAATCTCCTGCTGTCCTGTAAAGGGTGGATGAGAAAGGTATTATTGATGGGAGTTATAAAAAGTTATGTACCATTGTTATAGTAGTGGCCTCCTTTGCCCTGTGGATCTAGATCTAGGGTAATCTCTCTGTTGTCGCAATATTGCGAGCAAACCTTGCTGCTCTTCTAACAATAGTTCTTGAATGAAGTTTTTTTTTGGGATAGCATAGCTTCTGATGAGCTTTAGATCCCTTTTTGGGATTATAGTCATCATTACTGTAGCCTGTGGGGTTTGTTATGATATCATTGGGATTGTAGTCATCGCACTGTTTACCCGCACCCTTGGGGCCGCCAGAGTCGATAGTTAGTAGGTTCTGTTTGTTGCTTGGGCACGAACCTCCGCATTCAGTCTATGTGTAAATGTCCAGGTACTGTTGCATATTCCCAACGTTGCAACAGAAGACTTTACTGCCTCTATTTTGGTTGAATCAGTGACTGATCTGAGTTCCATTTGCATCTGTAGTACAGGAGGTCTTACTGGAGACATCTATAACCATATGACCTGAAGTGCAGGTCGCCCTTCCACCCCCAGGAGTCAGAAAACATCTGAATGTCGCCAGTTTTACATTGGCTGGAGCAATCAGTCTTCACGACGCCACCGCCAGCATTCCAATAGCACTGGTCTTTGGTGATACTCGTCCATGCTGGACAGCAGACCCAACGTGAATTAGTTTCATCTCCACTGCATCTGTGAAGAGTCAGTTACAGGGCTTAGTTTCAATAGTTACAGGATATGCTGTACTCACGCATCTTTACCATAGAGGGATTTGACTCTGCCAACAGCAGTTTCCGCCTGATTACAAAAGCCACCGCAGTCGGTTACCCGACACTGGGACGAGTCACTAGTCGAGTGGCCTACGGTCGAGGATCCCGCCAGGTCTGCAAGGGCCAAGGGGTTAGCACCTTCTACTGGGTTTCCGGTCAGCGCGCTCAGGGCAGATCGTGTGGAGTCATCCAAATCAATAGCCCAGATCATCAAACCACTCAGCCCACGTTTATTGGCAAAATCAATCTTGGCTTGGAATGTATTGTTATCATCATAGGAGACCCAATTATTCTGGCCGTAGACTAGATAATTGACGGCAGCATCCTTGTTGTGGTAGGGCTTAGCATTAGTTGACTGGATGATGTCCTTGATCTCTGGGGATCGCCGTCCTATTAGTGTCACGCACTTGATAGGACTCTTGTGGAAGGATTAAACCTTTATAGGAAAGTATACCCGCTGTCTGGGTGCAATCTCCCTCATCACCTGCCACTGTGAATGGGCAGCCAGGCTTCCAACATGAACTATACCTGAGCTTGAGCGATCGTCCTTAGAAGGCCATACCGAGGACAATGTCCCGGGGCGGGATGTTCCTGCGCTAAAACTACAGATTTCGTAGTTAATCCAGGATCAGTAGGGCAACAGAAGGTTCAATTTGAATGACTCACGAGATCGAGAGCTAGATCAATTTCTGTTATATTAGTATGAGCGAGAAGCGTGCTGCCAATCGGGTTGTTGGAGTCCCAGACCCCGTGAAGATCATAGGCCATGAGATTGATCCAGTCCGCATACTGGCTCATATTTTCCAGGTCGAAATGTTGCAGATACCAGTATGAAGTCGGTGCTGTGAAGGTTACCAGGTAGTCTTTGCCAGCAGTGTTGATGGCCGCTCGAAGCTCCTGCAATAGCTTGGTATAGTTTTTCCCATCGCCCTCCTTCCCGCCACGGTCATCTGCACCGGGGTACTCCCAGTCGAAGTCAACGCCGTCGAACCCATACTGGGCGAGAAAGCCTAGGACGTTCTCGATGAATTTCTGCCTTGACCCGGAGGTGGACACCATCTTTGTGAAGACGCTTTGCCATTTCCCTGGGTCAGTGAAAGTCCAGCCACCCAAGGCGATCATGACACTGAGGTCAGGGTTTTTTAGTAGATAGATCTATAGTTTATCTTTACAGGTATATTCCTACCTATTCTTTTAAATAATTCTCTTAAATATTTTTATCCCTTCTAACTATTCTTGCTTCCTAAAGGTAATAGAATCTTTATAGAAACCTGGTTTAATAAGAGCAAGGCCTTACTACTAGATACTATAATAGTGATATCTCATAATAGCTAGATATTAGATGAACTAGCTATTTAATGGCTTTAAAGCTTTATTAAGGCGACGAATGAGTGTACAAAGAAGGGGAGAAATAGATACTTATATTTAATGGTCATGGCTCCCACCTCACCATTAAATTCTTATATATCTGCGAAGATAATAGCATCATTCTCTTTAGATTCCTTCCTTATATAATACATCTTTACTAGCTATTAGATAGCAAGCCATTCTTAAGCTATAAGTAATACTTCTACTATATAAATAATAAGCTATCTTACTAGGCTAGTAAGCCAGTAGGGAAGTTAGAATTCTTATGGATGATTAGACTAGTATAGGAGAAGGCTTTTAACTAACAGATCATCCATGAGGCCTTTAAAGATCATAGTATCTAGCTAGTTAATAGTAGTAAGATAGTTAACAAACTTACTGCTGAAGCATACAAATAAATTCTGGATATCTATGTATCTAATCTAGATAAGATAATTCCTTCTACACCTTCTTAAGTACATTCCCATCTGCTATCTTCTTCTAGTATTAATATCTTACTACTAAGGATAATTTAGGTGCTTAAAAGGAACTAGGTAAAGATATAAGACTCTATGAATCTTCCTATTCTAAAGCTAATAGATAAAGCTATCTAAATATATAGATATCCTTACACTGAAGCTACAGCAGAATCTTAAATATATATTTAAATATAACCAAATCACTACTAAGCACCTGGCTATAGTAAATAAAACTATTAGTTAAATTAGGGCTGTGCAGGCCCCTCTATAGCATTAATATACTAAGCAGCAGGTTAAGCTACTTAGCTAGAATGGTATACTATAGATTTAAGATGCAAATCAGTCTATTGCTAAGAGGAAGGCTAAAGATGCTACTATAGAGAAGAGATAATTATATAAGTAATGGGAGAAGGTACATGGTAACCAACCACTACCAGAGCCTAGGAAGGAAAGTAATATATTAATCAAAGTAGCAAGAGCAGCTGAAGTAAATAGTGATATTTATTTTTTAGATAGCTAGCCAATGCGTTGCGAATAGCTTCAAATATCATGAAATTGGAAGTTACAGTGTGGTTGGAAGTTACGGTGTGGTGCACCCTCAACGCGGAAGCGGTGAGGGTGAGCGTAAGGCACGGATAGGGCCTGATCCAACCCATGTGGATATGGGTTGAACCCGCCTGATCTACATGGATAGATCTACATGGATATGGATTAACCCATTAGGTGCATGTGAGTCAGTTACCCATAAAATCTGCCACCAAGCCAGCCAGTAGCAGACAGCATCCATTTGCAAGGCTATTATGGATTAGCTCAGCCCAAAATTGTAGACCGAGACAGGCCTTCGAAATCCAATTTCCTCATGTCAGGGCGTTTCATGTAATGAATGACCCATCGCGGCCCAAGAAGTAGCTTTTTACTTACCAAAGCAGCAGATTGTCCGGAAGGTTCAAACCTGCTGCGATTTAGGGTAGACCAATAGTCAATAAACCGCCACTCATACTGCCCATGAATGTGGTACCCGTGAGGGTAGCAATGGGAGTGATCGCCCTAGCTCAGGAAAGCAGACATCTTGAGCCCGTAAAACTCGTTACCAAGGGTCTGTCCAAGATGCAGGAGGCTCTCGGGAGTTGTATCAGGTCGAGAACTTTTTGATGGCCGAGGTGCTCGCGGGTGGCTGTTTGACTCATCTACCTCAAAGAATGCCGTGGCGGACGGTACCGGGGCGAGGACGGTAGTCGCCATTCTTTAATCCAAGCCTGAAATTTAGAGCGGCCTTGGTCTGACTCGACCTTGAACGTGAGTTTCAGGTTTGCTGCTCGCAGGATACACAAAGAGACCTCTAGGTCTTGCCATATCTCATGTGATGTGGGGCTTGTGGAGGTAATCCGGCCCGCCCAACCGCCACATCGGATCTCATTATTGATAGGCCCCAAAACGACCCGAGCTTTAGACCTCGGCTACAATCAGATAGCGACAAGATGCCGTTCCTTCCTAACATTATTACGGACTTCGCTTCCCGGCTTCGAACCGCCCGTACCTAACAATCCTAGTTTTACCGTTAGTGGGTTTCAAATTTGCTATTTTATGGGTAGTTCACGCGTGGATCAAATTGGTAGCTTCTTGTTGGTAGAGCCGGATTTCTGTCAACCTGGTCCGTCACCATTGAGGTGCCGAGGCGAGTTAGCCCCCTGTTTGAGGCAGATTAAATTGATTATGAGATGCTGGTCTACATAATTTATTGTGCGGCTAGTAAAAGCTGCTGTGTCCGTACCCATTTCCGTAATCGTACCGTTTGAGAAGGGTTTTGATTTGAAATACTTGGTTCATACCAAGGATTATTCTTCAGGGATCCTCTTGTCTATGTCAGTGTCGGCTCTTGAGATTCAAGGAAGTAACTCTATTCGTTGGTCGAAATGTCTCTCAATACAAGTCCTCCTCACCGCTCCAACTGACCCTGAAGACCTTGAGTTTCGTAACATTGACCTACTCAGAAGCAGTTATGGTACAGTAGTATAGTTAGCTACCATGATCAGAAGAGCTAGCAGATATTCGAGACCAGTAGCATAGAACTACATCAGAACGTGATGTCTCCTTTCAAAATGTCCAAGTTGTTCCGCTGAAGATCCGCCCAGTGTCCCTGAAGGGACGGTGACCTGCATCACATTAACATTATCAACCAGAAAACTAATATGCTGAAGGTCCATAATGAACTTTAATCAAGGTGGACTTGAGATAAATGATCTTACATTGATTGGTGCAGAACTGTCCGCTGCCCTCTTTTCTCACATGTTGCTGATTTGAACACAATGGCTGAATCAGTATAGGTGGGTGCTGATCAAGTCACACTGGGTCATGTTTATTATAATCAGGGGACATAAAACGGTCATTCTTCTTCCCACTTACTTCCTTTGTTTTGTCGCCATTCACTCACACTTTTCCTCCGTATCTAAACCCTTCTATCTTGGAAGAGCACTTCCGTCCTGACAAGTCCTACCGATTTGGAAATTCGCTCGTGTGCAGCCTCTCATCATGTATATGCCCATTCTCGGTCTCCTTTTGGCCTCACTGGCAATGGCCTCTTACCCTTTGAGCCCTGAAGAAGGACACCAGAACTCGGGATCCAGCGGTAGCACAACCCCGTTTCTTTCCGGCATTTTGAGCTCTGGGGACTGTGATCTTGCAGGTATCTTGAGCCACAAAATCACACACATAATAGGACTGTGTAGCCTAATTGATTCCCAGCCTGTATCAAAGAGCTGGAGCCCATCCTTTCAAGCTGTGAAGGTGTCATTACCAACTTCGGTGATATATCCACCGACCTCAAATGCGTCGAGGGCGCTGTTGGTGCCGCGTTTTCGGTAAGTTTTTAGTCTTGATTGGCTCCAACTTGAGATGACTGCTCACTGATGATGGCATAAGTCTTCGCACTGCATCACCTGCGCTACAACTGCCATTTCGGATATCCAGAGAATCTTCACCCAGGCTCAGCGGAGATAATCAAGATGGCGACGTCTTTCGGACCCCGAAGCAATGATTCTTTTCCTGATCGGTGGTTTCTAGGTCTCGAAAGATACTTCCTGGCAGAGGTGTAATGGCGAAATTCAATTCCATTGCTAATTTATATTCTGGTGATTTGTCTTGTCGTCCGAGAGTTGTTGGAGATAATCTGAGTGGCCTTTGAATAATTTGCAATTGCTAGTACATGCTCTCTGAAGTTCATTTCTTGGGCTTTAAGGATAAGCTTCTATATCGTAATAGTCTACGCCTAACCCCACTGATGGGCAACGGCACCTGGATCCAAGTCCCGACCCACCTGAGGAACGGATTATAAGGGCATAACGCAACTCAAGTTGGTCTTATGATGTTTATATGCACGACAGGATTTCAAATTGAATCTGAGCAGCCTTCCTTCTTTGAGGATTATCTAGCAACACAAGAGATACAGGCAGCAAGTGAATAACAGGATGCGCAGAAATCAAAGGGACCTAAGGGGCCTAATGAGTGCAAGCCTGGCTGATCTGCGGTAGGGCGTTTGAACGGATTGCTGCCGGCTGGGTATGACTCAGATTGATTAGAAAACTCACACTAGGTCGGCTGTCCAATTGGAATTTCATCTCCTGACAAACTATCCTCAGACTCTTCAATATTGCGGCCGCTCAGTGCCTTTGCTATATTATTCAGACCGCGTTTGCTACTGTCTGCGGGATGAGGCTCCACGAAGACCTTCGACGGACTGAAGTGAGTAATCACCACTTCCAGTCATGTTCTAGTCTTTTACTCTGCGCAACATTTAAGTAGTAATAGAAATCAAACGATATTAATTACTATTTTCATGGGTTATGTACAGCTCTCTATGTATAGCCTACATTAATTCAATATTCGCATATACTACCTGATCTCCCCATAGCTGCCTCGGAGTCAGACCCCAGTAATTGGTCGCCTCCTGCCAGACTGCCTCCCCACCATCCATCTGTCTTGCCGACATCAAGGTTTCAGAATATCAACCTCAAAATGGTCTTTTGACAAATCAGCACAATTGAGCGCAGTTGAGCAGGTGGGGAACACGCCTTAAGTGACCAGAAATTAACGAACGAATGACCCAGGCGAATAAGCCCGATTACCCAGTCGGGCAATCCTTAGTGGCGTATTTCCTAAATAATACTAGCTTATGGTTGCTTCTTTTTCATCTCTGGGCCGCTCGCGCAGCTAATATGCTGACCCTCTTATTCTCTCCAGCTTTCCCCTATAAAGAGTTCAGGAGAGTTCCATGATATCTCTAAGGTCCCTCTAAACTGATTTTATAGCCTAGAATAAAATGTCCTATAAGAACATTGAATCTGGGCATTAATGAGGAAGTATCTTGAATTCTTTAGTGACAACCTTATATGAAGAGGTGAATTTTACAATTTGCTATTATGAGAGTGAGCTATAGTTAATTATACATGTAAGTTCCTCTCTTAACGTGATATTATGGGAATTAAAGAGGTACTTATCTATATTAAGATAGGGTGGTAGTGTTACTCTGCACAGAGGTGAAGCATTAATAAGTATATAGCTATCTAAGTGAGTAGAGAAACTCTTTACTCATTAACCAAAGGTGGATGGGTCTTGAAAATTATAGATAGATATTATGCTCTAGGCCAGGCCTATCCCAGAATGTATATACTCTGTAATATAACTTACTATTAGGGATACTTAGATAGAGCTGCATAAGGATATTATAAACTTCTCTGTTCTAGTAGACCTTGGGGATTTCTTACTCCCTGGCTAGACCCTAGTAACAATAAAAAGGAATTATAAGTAGTTAAAGAGACCCTGGCTAATATTCAGAAGTTTAAGTATATATTTAATAAAGGTTTATATGCCTTTCCTTTATATATTCCTGTACAGAGCGGAGAGGGATATAATTAACTAGTTATTAGTGATTCCCTGGATTCTATAGCTAGCAAAGTAGTATAGCATTAGTAGGGAGTGGTGCCTCTGGCAAAACTACTCAGCAGAGCTAATCCTAATAGGTATATACTAGTTTCCTTATTACTCCAGGGGATTAGGACTCTATAACTAGCACAGTCAGATGCACTGTAATGAGATGAATGGAATAATACCCAGATCATCCCTCCCAGACCACTGGGGCTGGGAGCCAGGCCTGATGCAGTCACTGGAGTAGGGGGTGGCAGGACACATACAAAGATGGCCGATGGGGACGCGCGGAGCCATCACGTAGGTGAGCCTGATGCAGATTAACGGCGGGAAGCAATTGACCCTGACGTCTAAGTCCAGCGGATATTCTTGCTGAATGTGCAGCTTGCGGCTATCCCCAGACGTTCACGCGACAAGACCAAAAAGGAGTCGGATTCCCGTCGCTGGACTGCCACAAGAAGTACTTTCCAATAGTTGCTGTGAATAGGCCCGGTTCCTTTTACGGACACCCACCCAGCGCAAGTGCTTACTGGGAACTGCGAGGAGATTCTACCCACCCGAAGGCTCTTCTTCCCCAACTGATGCGTGCGGAGAAGGAGGTACAAACGAGCCTCGGCAGACAGCAACTGAATCAACATTGGCCGATGATGTCGATGGCACGCGCTATGTGCCAGTGAGGGAAACAGACTAAGCGATTTGGTCTTGGAGGCCTCTAGAATATATTGTGGGATTGGCGTATGATTAGGAAGCGACAGTGCACATGAAATAGTATGCACGCCTCGGGCTGGGTCCTGATGCTTTCGGATGGCCTCGACTAATGAAGGACAAGTAGTGATCTCTATGCCGTTAATCTCTGACGGAAGTCGGTAGGTCTCTCCTGGCATCCAGCAGATTGAAGCCAACTTGACTCCCTTCTCGCATATTGCCAGGAATTAGGGGCTGACGATAGATCATGGAGCCTTGTAGGCGTTGTAGTAATCGTCGTGTATCCAGCTTGACTTACATTTCTCCAATTACTGCGGGCTTTTTCCATAATATATATATATTCGTTTCCGAGATCCCCGCGAAAGAACTAAATGCCACAAATTACTTTACCCTGCTTCGCCAGATCAGACAAAGAGGCAGAAAAACGATGTCCCATATACACCTTTTACATAGCAACACTTTCAGGCTTCCTACGCTTGTCACGTACGAAGATCTCCGTGCAGCCATTGGGAAGAGAGCGGCAGGTAGTTTCAAACAAAGGAGAGGCGCTGATGAGGTCGCTGAGCTTATGGTATCCGTAGGTATCTTTACTAATGAATCCACAGACCCACAGGTATTCCAAGGCTTACCCCGGTTTGTGAAGGACATTCTACCTCACAAATAATCGTGTGATTACCAGCAGATAGCTCACTAGAACAGATGACGCTTAGCACCTCAGTCTATTCTTGTCTAACTCATCAGTTGTGCCTTGCTCCCAGAATCAGGTTGTTTATTCCCCGCCGTGCCTCAGAGAACCTATATGATGCACCTCTTTTTTATTTAGCCTCTGGAATTCAATATTGTACTCATCATCTCTTTTGTCCCTTGATGAAACGGATTTCCAAGTCAGGAGGAGTTAGAGTAAAATACTCTTTCACCTGCCGTTCGAAGGCGCCTTGAGCTGACTTGAACAGACTCTCCAGTTCATAGCGCAGGATTATGGAACTGATGAATCGCCTCATCATCATTATCGCTAGCCGCTTACCAACACAGGAGAAACGCCCAAGAGAGAAAGGTGCGTAGACAGATGCATCGAGTATGAGCTCTGGTTGGGTTGTCCAGCGCTCAGGTACAAACTCATCAGGACGAGAAAACGCTCGTGGATCTCGACAGAGAGTATATGAAGGCGTTTTGATAATCACATTTCCAGGAATCCAAGTGCTCTTTTTCTCGGTGCCAATTGTCAGACCTTCAGGGGGCGTCTCTCGTTGCAGCCCATCCACGACAGCTGGCCAAAGACGGAGAGTTTCATCGATACAAGCCTGTAAATAAGGAAGCTTAGCAAGCTCGTCGGGCCTCAATTCCGTATCGGCTCTTTCCTCTGCACAGGAATGCAATTCGTCCCTTAGCTTCTTGCATACATCTGGGCTAGAAGCCAAATGATACAAAAGACAGATCAAAGTGCCCGCGACAGTATCACTTCCCGCAATGACAATGAGCGATGCGTCGCCGTAAAGATTCTCGGTATCCTGCCATGAAGGCTTTTGCATTCGCTGATAGTCGTTAAGGATCCATGAGAAAATATCCCTTACGGGCGGTGGAACTGCAATGCGCCTTCGAACGTGAGAACCGACCCACTTATGAAACGACTTGTAGTCGTTACTGAGGAATGGAACCGCCTTGACCACGGGAAATAGCCAGACGAGTCGGCTAAATATAGCAATAAGTTCCAGAGTCTTGTGCGCCAAGTTGAAAAAGTAATGGAAGGTGCCGCTCTGAAGCATGTCAAAGCTGCTTCCAAAGGCTAGGTCCCCCATGATATCAAAACTGTAGAGATGTATCCATTTGGTCACGTTGATTGAGGTGTTGTTCTTCACACTGTCCTCTATTGCGGCACAGAACTTTTCGGTGTGAGCGTTTACACGAGTCATATAATCGCCTAGGGCTGACAGTCGCATCGGAATTAGCATAGCTCTAACTTGTGTTGTTCTTCTTGTGGGTTTGGAAATCTGGCTTACCCCGATTATCAAATGCCTTATCCCAAGCTCTGCGTCTCTCCCCGTGTCTTTTCACATCACGCTCCATTTGCAAGGAAATCATAGGAGCAGTCACATTGTACCATCTATAGCTCAAAAAGGTCAATTAGTAAGCTAATAATCAAAATAATGAATTTCGCATTTGAAGAGCGTCACTATACTTACGGTCCTCTTCCACAGGACGATGATAGGTGAATCGCACGGAAAGCTTCTGGATTTGCAACAGACAGCTCCCTGGGACCGACTCTGACAATATCTCCATACTTGGAGTGAAGTGCTTGAGTAGTTTTGAAGCCTCTAGCTTCTGCTATGTTGACAAATGTCATGTAGAAGGTTGAAAATCGAGCCAAAAAAGGACCAGGGAATTTGTTCAGTCTGTGAAACCAACCCCGGTAGACTGAAATACTCGAAAATATACCACAAATTGCGATGAAGACTAGCATAGACGAATATTCAAGACTTTCCCAGGTCGTTGTCCCCCTTGGGGGAAGGTGGAAACTTTGGAGAAACGTCCCCAAGAATACCGGGGCAACACTGAAGGCGACTAGTATCTTGAACGAATGCAGGTCCCACTCCCCGTGTCGAAAGATTGTTTGGTGCAAACCGATGCCAAAGGTATAGGTTGCGGCAAGTATGCAGCTCCCACCGAGGCTGATAAACATATTATCACTTACGTTTGCAAGAGTGAAGAAGACAGCCGATTTGGGCGGGCTGGATGCTATAGCTTGTTGCAACAGTGTAGACAATCTTCAATGGGGAATTCACGAAGCTCACGCATCAAATGTTCCGACTTTGGGTAGGTAGTTGGATTTATAATCACGAAGTTTATGAATACGGGCTTTTTGCAAGGATTTATGATCAATTATCTTCTGATAATGTTCAATCCTCAAATGACGCGATGAAACTCTTTCTTCAAACAGGTAATCAACCTACAGACTACTGGTGGGAGGCCTTACATGTAAGGATATACAACTACCTATCTCCATTGATCGATACAGGGTTCTTAAATGGACGGATAAATTGGTTGTGAGTCAGGTGTAACACCAATGTCAACCTACAGATCAGTAGTACCCCAGGGGGCCTGAACAGCCTCTCATGAACCAAAGGACGATCACGTTAATGGATGAAGGAAATAGTAGATTGCCCATTTCTCAGAGCGCTGCCAGCAGGAACGGCCTGGATCGTCCCTAACCTAGGAGAGAATTATTAAGTGTCTTGTACACTGACTTGAGTAAGAAGGCTCGGAACACGTAATACTTCGCATATCCTAGGCTATTCCAAGCCTCTAGCTATCTTATCACTGACGTTATYATGGATGCTTGGGACGCCTTATTTGCCCTGTTKCAWAGAAAATCTCTCGCTATTTAATCTCCTAGCCTATAGAAGAAGGCCTARAACRCGTAATACTTTGCATATCTTAGGCTATTCCAAGCCTCTAGCTATCTTATCACTGACGTTATCAAGGAGGCTTGGGACGCCTTATTTACCCCTCTTTACAGCCGGCCTCTGGCCTAGTCCTAGGACAGAAGGCTTGGAACGCCTAATTGCCTTGCCTCAGAGTGCTTAGGAAATATCCCGAGGGCCAGTCAAGGGATGTGTATAAAGAATTCCACCTGGAAGCTGCAATATGCCAATCGTCAAGAAAATATATATGCGCTTTGAGAATATGTCTGAAGCTGAGCAAAAGGGAGCAGAGACTTTCACTTTTGACGCAGTTGGGCTAGGAAGGGGCGGGCTCAATCGGGCAACATCTACGTGCGTTCAAAAAAATCCTATGGAAATTCTTCATACAACTCAGCAGACAATCACTTTTGCGAACCTGGGATGCTCAACAAAGGTATTTAATCTTTGAGAATCCAGGTGTCGAAAGAAGACTTCCCTGTTAACGCAACGACAGATCCCAATCCCCATACTTCCCGAAGCTTTGCTACAGACCGTAGGTGTGCCCTGGACCAATTATGTTTCGAGGCATCTAGCCTGGAAGCGACAAGCTTTGCCATGGCTCCCAGACGAGAAACTTCAAGACATTGCGCGTGCCGATCTCGAAGCGATGCAATTAGGTTTCCCAGCAGTTGATGATGAGGCCTGCGCGCTTGGGCTTGCCGCGTGCCTGACAATTGTGTGCTATGTGGATAGCTTCATTGAGGAAATGGAGCCAGAAATGGCGAACCAGTGTGTTAAGCGGTGCTTGGCAATTCTAGACGGTGACATTCTAGATAATCGAATTGGTAAGGCCTTATCCACACCATTTCGTATCGTTACTAATTACATTGATGAAGTGGAAAACCCTCGCAACTCGTTAGAAAAGGCTCAAACTATATGTTCAGCATTCTACAAGCAAATGTTGGCCCTTTTTCACCCAAAAACAGCCGTTGCAGTCATTTGCGATATGAAGGATATGATTGCCAGCCAACTTCTTGAGCTTGACTTCAAGGAAGGCATCTTACCCATCAAAACCTACGGCGAATATCTCGAGATTCGAAATCGGACCTTCGGACTAATGCCGCTGCTCACCATTGCAGAGTATTATTACCTAGCCGAGGGAGATTCGTTGGCTACATCACCAGACATAAGCCTCTTAAAGACCCAGATAAGTCTTATGGGAGTTGGTCAGAACGACATTGGCGGCTTGGAAAAGGACATCCAGCTTTCAAACCCGTCGAATTCCATTATGGTATTTGCCAGGTTGCTTGGACGCAAGCCAATAGTCAGTGCAAATAATCTCCTGGAGTCTCAGGATATTCTTTCTCTCTTTGAGAAGCAGAATCAGAGATTTATCAATGACGTGATCAAGACCTGGAGTCGAATCCAAACTCGCTCCACAGTGAAGGAAGAGCGAAGACTAAGTAACACACTTATCACGGTGTGTGTTACCCACCTAAAGTGGGTTCTGTCTACCTCGAGATACAATATCGATTGTGTACTGCAGGGAGATTGTATTGGTAGTTAGACCCATGTATCTCACTAATTCATAACTTTTTCGGCTGCTCACCCACACCGTACTCACTAGCTCGCAAAGTCTAGATAAATAATTCTATGAGATGGATGCTGTGTACCACCTGTGCACTCTGTTAGGCAATGCGATTTGCTGGAACCGACAGCCCCATGCGCTAGGGCAAATAGTGGCACTGGCGGCGCTATCCATGGTTCCTCCGGGGTTCGTAATGGGTTAATCATCTTTGCTATGCTTTGCATAATGTCAAGATACCCTCATGGGCATGTTATTATGGCAGATTAACCACGACAATTCAAATACCAGTGCGTCTGGGTTGGAAATCAATCTTATAGCCGGAGTAAGTCATGCTTGTGAGCTATTATCTGATATGAGCTGTAGCAATTGAGGAAAGTATCAGCCTTCAACTAACTATGTAATGTGATTAATATAATTTGAAAGGTATGAGGTGAATCACCCGACGAGGGAGGGGAGCAGGTTGCGAACTTGAATAGAGGCCCTACTTTTGAAGATTGGCCACTCGTCCGCCGTAGTGCGGCGGGTTTTGGCTCAGCCTATCCACCTGTTATACAGAAGCTGCAGGTCACGTGTAATTTGGTGTGCCTTCCGCAGCGCCAGGACCTCCACTTTTTTTATTCGTGCGACATCGTTGGAAACAAGGAAAAACTTTGCGCTTTTATGTCTGCTACACTTACTTCGCATTCGCACGGGTTGAGGCCCAGAGGTCGCCCATGCAAAGCATCTACCAGCAGCCCGAACTCTGTAAGAGAACTTCTTTCCCTTATCTGACGTAGACGCTCATTCAGACTAGACGCGAAGAAAACAGGTCCGTGAGGCCCAACGGGCATATAGATCACGGCAGCAAAATTTATTGGCATCATTACAAGAGCGGAACTCTCAGTTGGAAGATGCCATGAAGCAAATATCTCAGGTCATGGATTCTTTTCACCCAGTCATCAACGCTGGCCCATCTATGCCACCGCCTAGGCTTTTGGAGGCAGTTCAGCTTCTAGAAGACGAAATTTGTCATCAAATATGTCACGTTTTAGGCCCCTCTCAAGCCCATCAAGAGTGTGATCCTCAAAGATCCAGTTTTCGGGAACGTTTGCAGCGATTGTCTGTTCGACATTGTTCACAGCAGTTACAAGACATACCCTCAACTCCGTCGCTCTTGCCACAGTCTAGTTCCCAATTCTGGTCATGTTTCCTGCAGTCTTCTCACACTCTGATTCCTAATACTGCCCCCATTGCCGAGCAAGAGACTTTCAAACTGTCCATGACGGGATCTACAGAGCATTCTTTCAATCGGCCTATACCGTACACCACAACGGAATTTTCCCGACGTCTGTACCGTGCCTGCGCTGAGAGTGGGTATAGATATCTGATGGACGACTCGGTTACGGACCAAGACATGTGGCCTGAATTTGGGCTCATGCTCCGAAGCATATCTCGTTCTCAAATTAGGTCGTATTTCAAACGCGTCTTGACAGCCGTACCTTGCAACCCAGTTGAAGATTTTCACTTTCCGTTCATTAGTCTCGGTGGTGCGGGTACACACTTTCGAGGAACGGACATGGACAACCAACTGCCAAATCTCCATAGCCTGGCCGTTTTTCAGAGAACGAATGGTATTGTCGAAATCACTTCGAACGAAGAATGGTTTGATGTTCATGATGTGGAAAGATTCCTGGTTGTTCGAGGAGTTCAATTAAGTCGTGTAGATCCGGATTGCACACCGGGGATTTCTTCATCGGCACTCGCTACAACAGCTTCAGTTCAGTACCTTCAAGCTTCCCAACAGAGCCAGAGCCTTTTTCAACCATTGGTAATGGGTATTAGCGAAAAAGCTTTAATTGAAGGTCAGTACCGTTAGATCTCAGCTCTACGCAGATCAGAAAGGCAACAACCCAAAAGCTTATCTGACCTCGCTGCAGGTTTGAGCCGCATGTGCATCTGCATAGGGTGTGCTGCTGCATTCCGTCGACGTGATGTCGAGAACTTTATCTTTCAAAACATTCAATGGACCCCACCGACCACTCATGGCTCTGAAAAAGGACTGGAAGTATGATCTAAGAGTTCTCGATACTTTGATATTTTTGGAACCACGCTGCAAGCTCTTGGATCGTTGATAACAACCTACTCGTGCTCACAACTAAGTCTCGAAGGCACTCGACTCATCACTCCCTCGCGCCAGAACCAGACAGCTGCGGTGGTAGCACCAGGCCCAATCGCCGCATATCCCCCGCCCATCGCACAGGAGACCACTCGCAAATCTACATCTGACAGCCCAGATCGGTTCAGATCCCAGACACTCACCAGACACCAGAGGAAGGCGGCTGCTGCCACAAGAAGAAAGTCGTTCTGGAAGAAGACGAATACTCCATCCGCGAGTGATTCAACAGGTGCAAACGAGTTCTTCGGAATGAAGAGACTAGTCAGAGACAGTTCGCTTGAGACCAGGGATCCGATGATCAAGCTCAGGTGGAAACAGGCTGCAATCGCTCCTGTTGTCTGATAGATAGTACGTAAATATGGAAGGTCGCTGTTTGGGTCTGCAGAAGAGTTCGCCTCCCTTTTAATAATGCGTGAAACCAGAGCTGTCGCCGCGGAAAAGACCGTGGTGAGACTGGAAATCCATACTGGGGCTGGTTGCCATAGGGCAATCATTGCCTGGCGAGTGCCTGAACTCGCAAAAGGCCAGAACAGAAGCATGGTGGGCACGATGAATCCCAGCATTAATGCCGGCAAGATGAACTTAGCTGCGGGAACCTGCCTACCAGGTTGAATGAAGAAAGTCGACCCGCGCGAAACGAACAAAGTGGTTGCGATATAAAGGGGTGCAATGAATCCGATACCGCGCAATTGATAGAGGATGCCCCAGACGGTGGCACTGAGTCCCCATTAGCAAGCCTATCCCTGGATTAATGAACCTGAACTTACCTGGCAATCGGCGTCCACTTATTCCGCTGTCGATATCCTTCGATAGTAAATATGGCAATCAAGGGTAGCATCGATGACAGGAAGTAAAGTAGATGCAGCTGTTGCCCAGGGTTCGAAGGATTGTCAATCGATGATAGGAAAATGGTTACCAGCGATTTAAGAACGTTATCAATGGAGGTTAATCCAGTATATGAGTGTCGCAATTCCAAATCCCTCTCCTTAATCGAACCACTCATAAGCGCCTGCCCCACAAACCGCCACGTCCCGTTGACCTTTCCAGCGGTAAGCAACAGCTCGAATGCAGCAAAGGCAATCGTTGCGAAAACGGCGTAGAGGGTAAAACCAATTGGCCCGCGCGAGGACGGAGGTTTGAGCAGCTCATCGTAATAGGGGATCTCTCGAGACTTTCTGGGAATTGGAAGCATGTTCAATGAGACCGCGGGAGAATACGTCTGAATCCAGCGAGGTAGGAGAGCCCACTTGGGGATATACGGGACAATCACTCTAGCAGCAAATTTCAAGAACGGCGTCTCCATACACTCCAGCCGCTGTCGTGCATGTGAGGCTCTGACGAGGTCCCAGACCCGGGCCTCTCGCTGGCTTTGCGTCTGTTCAAAGATAAATGTGATATCGTTTGTTGATAGGTGTTTCATTGGATGCGTCCTCAAGAATGACATGAGATGGTTCGTCAGAGCTGCTGCCGTTTCAATTGCCGAGTTACCACCCTGCCCAGTCAAGGGCTCAAACTGAATCGCCAGACGGTTAGTGATCTGCGTCTCAAAATTTCTCGGGCATGATTATGGAGCACACCTTGTGAGCTGCATCGCCAATAGTTATGGTTCTTTTGAAATGCCACTTCTTGTAAACGTACTCTGGTAGCGCCGTGTATACCGAGCTCACTGTTTTTTTGTACAGATCAGAGAATCGCACTGTGGGGGTTATTAGGTCGTTCCAATGCTCTTTGGCGAGTGCCTCTTCCTCGTCCTTGGTGAATCTTGGGATATCAGAGCCATACAGGGTCTTTCCCATATTCTTCACCAGGAACCAGTATGTTCTGTCCCCGGGACCGCTAGGGATCAGGTACGAGAAGTGCTCGTTGAACACCGAACTGAGTGTTCCTTTCTCGATGCCATGTACCCCTTCCGATATACCGAAAATGCAGGCGTATGTTGCCGGAAGTGCTAACTTCTAGTCAGCCCTCGGTCGCTTCGGTTGGATACCATGGTCAGACTCTACCGCTTGTTTCAGACTTGTCGAACCACGTTGGGTCTGTCTTCTGTGCTTCATCCCACATTTGCTGCCGAACAGTGGAGTGGATACCGTCTCCTCCAACAACAAAAGTGCCTGTGTATATATTCCCTCTTTCCGTGATAACAGACACATGCGATGGATGGTTGTTTACAGTAACGACCCGCTCGGAAGTCAGTATCTTGTCTTTCTGTTGAATATGGTCGTAAAGAGTCTGTATTAACATGCAGCGATCAAGGAAGACAATCGGGTAACCATGTCTATATACGCGAGTCAACAGATATATTCTCGGACAGACGTTCCGCTCGAGGAAACAGAAGTCACAGACCTGCCCACAATCTGTCCGTTGAAATTTTCAAATGACCAGAACGGCTGACCTTGTGAGTTGCGGAAGATCACTTTGTCAACTGGATATTCGGCTTTGGCAAGTATTTCCTCGCTGCATCCCAGCTGGTCCAGGATGCGTAACCCATTCGGCAAAACTCCGATACTTGCTCCCACTTGAGGAGCAATGCTGGGATAGCCTTCTAGTACAAGGAAATCAATGTTATTCTTCTCTAGCATCAGAGCCAGAGACAGGCCAGCAATACTGCCGCCCACTATAATAACTTTGAGGGGTTTCAAAGACATGTTTAAGGGTTCAATCATCTAGATAGTGTCTGTTCTCTTTGCTTCCAGATACTTTACAAGGAAGAAGCTGATTTTATAGCCCAACGCTACTTTCGTCGGTGTACCTCGATTACTGATCTTGATGCCCTTGATTTGTATTGGAGTCTTTCAATTCCTCCGATAATTAGTTCCTTGATTTTTAGCCAATACCAAAATTTTGCGAATTTTGCTATGATCACTAATCAAGCCAATCAAAACGCGAGTTGGTGCGGCTTCGGAGAAACTTCTGTACCCACCCACAACCCTCAAATCACAGCATGTTAGAAAATGATATCTTTCTTCTTTAGGAACTGGTAGAGCCTACGGGTGCAAAGTGAGGACAGGGTAAACTCACCGGTAGCACTGCAGCGACTGTCCCGCCATTACACTCCATATTGTAGTGGTGTTGCGCCCATGAGTAACTGAAAATATGGAAGAGGGGTTTCGGCACCTAAGGCCTCGACACCTCAGGTCCCTTATAAAGGCAACTTTGGCCTGCGTTTCAGTCATAAGTCCAGGGTCATTTCGTTCTACCAGCATGTTTGTGTCACTACACCTACTTTTCCTGCTGGCAAACTCTAAACCGCTGGAGCTTCCATTCCATCCATTGCTGTCGGCTGGAGGGATTTTGCCAGAGAAATTCTGTTACTTCAATCACACGGCTCCGGACACCAGTTCTGAGAATGCTCACAGAAAGCTCACGACCTGACAAAAAGGGTTCTACCAAGATATCTTGGTCAGGTAGTAGTGATCTTAGTTTTCTGACTGCCGATCCTAACTCTGAAGGTTTTGTCACTTTATTAAATTTGTCAATCCCCTTAGACGATCCTTCTATAACTGGCTTCAAACAAAGAGGGATAATGCGACAGCATATTAGTAAAGATTTTCAAGTCTCAGTTTCTGATCCTTCTGCGAGATCACCGGGAATGGAGCTGTGGGTATGTTATACTGAGCCAGAATAATGTAAGTGCCATATTAGTTAGCAGGGCCGTGGTTTTCAAATAATGATCTAATAGATACAGTACCCTAGTATAGACCTTTTCTGACTAAGTGCCATCATGGCAGCATCAGAAAAAGTATAAAGTAATTGGTAGGCGTCTAATAGCGCTGGAACCTGGGCTTCCCTAGCTGGCCCGTGAAATCCTTGTCCTATGTTAAATACCAGATCCGAATCCTTATATGTGCCAGCCGCTAGGTGTTTGACAAGGGATTCTTTTCGCAGGGTAGTCAAAACAGTATCGATTTCACCGTTGTGCGGTAGAGCCGCACATTCTTCTGTCCTGTATCCGGAAGAAGTAGCTTGGCTAGTACTATGGGATTAATGCGAGACCGTGGTTATGGCCTTTCCACTCCTTGGCCTTTTAAGGAAGTCAATAAAGTTATACTAATTATACTAATGTAACCAGTAAGTGAGCAGTGTGTGTAAGTGAGTGGCGCACCACCAAAACATCCATGTAGTTCATTATATTAAACTAATTCAAACTATCTCCTTACTATAAGAAAATTATATACTATGTCAAAAAATTCTGCAGAATAAGAGGGGAGGATTCTCCTTACTATTTCTACTTTAAAGAAGAAAGAGATCTTATCTATATAAGAAGCAGCATGTATTTATTATATACCTAAGACTACCATTTAAAGAAGACTTAAAGGTGCTACTTATTGCCTTAAGAAGCATGTAAATAGCCCTAAAATAACTTAGAATAAAGAGGAATTACTTATTAGATAGATTCTATCTATAGATTAATATAGAGCAGCTCCCCAACCATCCTATATATAAGAAATAGTGAATATCCTGCTTATACAGTGTGGTTTAACTCCTATCTAGACTATTAGAGAGAAATAGGTATATAACTCTATTAATTAGCATAATAAGATTAAAACCTGATTCTCCAGGCACTATAATCACCAGTGTGCTAAATATAAAGATCTAAAGATTATTCTAGAATAGTTTAATTATATTTAGATTACTATAATGCAGCATCGGATTGTGCCTAAAGATATCTATAACTTTAATAAGACTAGCTGCAACGAGGAGCCGTACAGTTGGAAGATATTATCTACTTATCTTAGATGGCCATAGTAGCCATCTAACACCTAGTTTTAACAAAGCTTGCAAGGATAATAATATTATTACTATCTGCATGCCTGCTCATTCTTCTTATCTCTTATAACTACTAGATATTGGTTGTTTTGGCCTGTTAAAACATACTTACAGAAGCCTTGTTAAGGAGAAGATGCGCTAGGATACAACCATATTAATAAGTTTAACTTCCTTTGAGCGTATCCAACAGCTCATCTAGAGGTTTTTAAGCCTCTAAATATTTAGAATGGCTTCGCTGCAGCTGGATCTACCCTTTTAAGTCAAAGAGGGTGCTTAAGAAGCTGAATATCTCTATATCTACCTAGACCTAGGCAGGTGTTCTGGGTAACCCAACTGAAACATATGTCAAACCCAACTTGGGCTGGGTTTTGGGCTTAAGGGGGGTGTTCTGGGTTGGGTTCTAGGCTTTTATATAGAACCTAACTAGGTTTTGGGTAACCTAGTTAGGTAGATAAACTAGACAAACATTAAAGATTATGTGATATGCATTAATTATATATTTCTATCTTATATTTATAGGTATTTAAACTATATATCTAAGTAGGAGAGTAACTATTCTAATTACCCTTCTATTTCTTCTCTAACTATTATAGGCTAGAATTCTAGTATAGGGCTGTACTCTAACTATCCTAATAGGCTATAAAGAAATAAAGTGGAATTACTAAAGAAGGAAGAAGCTAGGTATAGGTAGCTAGTATTATATATAGTAGGTAAGGCCTACTAAATACTCAAGCTTACTAAGCACTTATAATCTACCTTAGGTACTAATAAAGTCCTATCTAAAGTAGACACTAGCTTAAGGTCCTGTCTAAGGTGGATACTAGCTTAAGGTCCTATCTAAGGCAGATACTAGCTTAAGGTCCTGTCTAAGGTGGACACCAGCTTAATTATGTAATAAAGTATTAATTAATATACTAATTAACTCTTATTATATAATTATAGCTGTATATATAATACAGTATATATTATAAGTTAGCTTATAATAATAATAACTAATAATAAAGGAACTAATTATTCTTACACCTTATACACTTCTAATTTCATCCAGAGATATACTGTTATATATTAGGTAAAGGAAGAACTACTTTATTATCTAATAGAAATGGTTCCTGACCCTCTGGCTCCCTATTAGATACCATACTCCTTTATCTCTTACCCTACGCATGCTTAGATAGCTGCTGGGTAGCTAGCTAGTCTATATTAATCCCTAGGCTATTATCTTCTTTATTATTACTAATTAGCTTAAGGGTATCTTAAAGTTATTAAGCATCTTTCTCTTTATTAAGAGCTTACTATTCCTTATTTAAAAGATATTATTTTATAAGGGAAAGCTTCTTCTCTTCTACTTCAAACCTTAATATATATATAAATAGCATTAGATCTTAGATTATTATAGAATTAAGTAAGCCTTAATAATAATAGCAGATATCTTAAGTAGAATTAAAAAGCCACTTAATACTAGTACTAGTAGTAGGTATTAAGAGTATATTATAAGCTATTTTTACAAGAGCTAGAAATTTATATTTATACTCTTTCTAGAATATCTATAGAGTAATTAGGGCTATCTCTATTAAATAATATTAATTAGTAGAGTATTAGCAGGAATAATAATATTACTTACCACTCTTAAGATACTGTATAGTCTTATTAGTACTTACTAATTAATTAAAATTAGGAGTAAAAAAGGTATTAATCTTTAATATTTAAATACCTAAAGATAATATCTATAGTAAGCCCTATATAGCTAATAAGTATTCCTTATAGAGACCTATATAGGTTTTAAAGCTTCTATAATATTAATTATATAATTCAGGACTCTAATCCTTATTATTAAAGAACTAAAGCTTATTTTACAGTGTAAGGATTATCCTAATTATAAATAGATTACTATAGATCTTATCTATTTCTCTATAGTAGATAGATAGCTTCTCCTTTACTATATGGAGAGCACTAAGCATAAGCTTCTTCTAGGCTACTTTCTTCTATTAAAGCTGATAGATTAATACTTTAAGATAATTAAAAAGTTTATTATAGATACTAAAGATAATATAGATAGTTATATCTTTTATTTAAGAGAGTGCAGTAGTAAATTTAAAGAATAGTTAAATAATCTAAAGAAGATACTTAATCTAGTATTATTCTTCTTAGTTAAGTATTAAGTAATTATAGCTATTCTATAAGCAGAATTAATTAAAGATTAGCTATAGTTTCTAGAGTTGCATTTGGTCCGAGTTCGGGCGAGTCCAACCCCAGTTGGAACCGAACCGCTGCGATTTCGAGTTGAAATTCTAGAAATCAAAATCAAACCTGATCCATTCCGATTCAGTGTGAGTTTAACCACAAAACTCGAAGCTTGGCATAGCTAAACCATTCCTAGCCAAGTCACGTTACCTACTAACTAACCATGGTTAGATTCGGTTCAATTTCAGGCAGTTAAAACCACTATCATTTGGTGAAAGTTAACTGTTTTAACATTTCAAATGATCATACTATCTATCATACTACTACCATGCCTATAGAAATTAATATTTCTATATGAAATATATAGTAATTATTATTATACTAATCTAGATCTAAAATATTAATTCAATATCTATAGGGTTGAATGGATGGTGGTTAAAATCATCCTTAGATCATAGTGATTGTCGAAGGTTGATRTGCATATATATATAAATCACTATAACTTTCATACCAACCTGTGACAGAAATGATTATTCCCCTGTATCTCAGCAACCACTAAATATTTTGAATTRATATTTATATATTTAGATAGCCTAGATCTAGGGCTACCTAGTAATATTAAAATTATTAGATAAGTCCTAGAAATTAGTGATTTCTATCCAAAACAGTGAGGGTTGGTTAGTYRAATCCRATAAAA